CAGTGGAACTCCCACAGAATTGACTAAAATTTATCACTAAGTTACTACTTTTTTTTACAAACTAGAGTTGGTAATCGCTATAGGGGCCGATGATGCCGCATGAGCATCCAGAGCACCCAGATGCGAAACAACATCTGTGGGTCACACAAATAGTTGTCCCGTGTGGGAATCGAACCCACGACAACCGGCGCCGAAGACAATCGCTTGGCGACTGCGCAACGAGTGAGTCATAATTCATAAACAACATCACCATGAGATCATGGATTATGCAAAATGTTCGAAACGTAAGAAATAAAAACGATAATTAATAGCAATTTATAAATAAACTTTTTAATAGTACTTAATAAATGTTGTAGTAATCAGGGCTTTTTACATTATTTTCGAAACGTCGCGAATAATAACAAAAGATTAAAAAATAAGTCTTGTTTAATGGTTACATATTGGTTAAATGGTGCAACACTCAGGTCTTATTACATTAAAAAGTTAGGCGGGCACAGCTGGTGAAAGCGATAGACTATTTTAAAATATCCTGATAGCAAATCTATGCTTCTTGGACGCAAAGAAATCTCAGAATTGGAGTTTCGGAACGCACCTGCCTTTACGAAACGACCAGTTACGATCAGGTTTATACATACATTGATGGCATTTAGTACCAAGCGATCAGGCAAACCGTAACAGTGAGTCTCTTGTAAGACAAGTAAATTTTTTTATCAACGAGAATCAAAACCGACTTCAAATATCTATATATATTATTTTTTAATTGAATGACAGGAGTTCCCTACGTATCTCCAGAGCCCAAGATCCAATATCAATGAAATATGGCACCACATGGGAAGCACCGGTTTTCAAATAAAAAAAGAATCAACACAACCGATTCACTCTGTCGATGAGTGAACAAATTAAAAAAAAAATACAGTCGAATTGAGAACCTCCTCCGCTTTGGAACTCGGTTGAAGACGACTGGCGCCCGCTAGTGGGATTTCAACTAGCGATCTGATTCTGTATATTCAGTTACATAAACTTTGAATATAAGTGCGTGTGACGTAACAGTAATATCGCAGTTTACAAGACTCTCAAGACGAACCGACGGCGGGAGGTCTCCATTCGCTCGGTTATTAAGACGCGAGTGTCAGAACTCGAACAGTGGTTCGAGACCTACTGACCCGTATAACAAAACACCTTTATAACAGCGGAACAGTGCACGATATCAATTAGAAGATTATCCTGCAATCAATATACCACGAAAATTTAATTACACGTGCAACCGTAGCCGTCGAATTACTATGCTATCAGTCTGAAAGCGATACTGTATCGTGTATCGCGCAGGTGTAAAACTATTCACACATTCGGCCTATTGATTATTGCTTATCGAATGATAAGGGCTATTGCATTGCACTGTTTTTTTTTTTTAATTTGAGAAGGTGGCAAGTGAACCGGCGTTTCGCCTGATGTTAAGTGATAACGCCCGTAGGATTCGAGACACGTTGCCACATTATAAAAGGCCCCGGCTACCACACTCACCAGGCGAAACGCTGAAGTAAAGGTATCCGCAGTAACAGTGCCGTGGTATTGTCTGCCAGGGCTATATACTGAGCGGAGACCTTTTTGGTGCATACATTTTTACAATTCTAGTGTTATTTCTTGTCCTTTATTTTTCTCCTATAATGTAATGCAACGAATAAATATTTCTTTGTTTCTTTCTCTTTCTTTCAGAAGTATAACACTACCGCTTCACGCCGGTCTCCTGTGTGATCGTGACACTACTCCGGACCGACGTGCCCATTCTTGCAACAGCGACAACTACAACAGTATCAAAGTGTAACCACGTTGGCAGACTATGCTGTTGGAGACATCACCGCCGGGAAAAGATCGTTTATTTTTACGGAGTCAGTACTCGCCGCGACGCTCCATTCGCTTTTAATATTTTCCAAATAAACATAGTAGCTCTCATGCCTTTCCATACCGGAGGACTGACGCCCGGTTTCTGAAACACTAATCATCGTAGATGTCAACTAACCAACTGTCAAATGTTCCTCAAATTTCATTTGAAATGCCAAAAGGATGAAGGAATTTTAAAGTCATCCCCTATATGTGTGTCCATTTATTGTCGCGGTTGTAACGACACGCTGTATTGGGGGCAAAAATCGCTTGACTTGTTTGTTGCGGGGGTAATTTAGTATCTGGTTTACGGATAACAAGGGTAGCTACGGGGATTAGTTTGAAATTAGGTGTGTGACACGCGGATTGCTGTAAGCGTATCGATGTGAATACTGTAATATATATTCATTTTTTATTTAACTTTATGTTTAGATAACATTATCCTGTATTGTAAGGACACGTTTAACATACATAATGTCTGAAAATTTGTTTGTCACAAATAGTCTCATATGGGAATCGAACCCTTGGAAACTTCGTCATCAAATATACGCATAAATACATGAAATAATTTAAGGCACAGATTATAGTTTGTTTAATATGTTTTTAAAAACAATAATTTGTCTACGGGTATACCATATCTTCTTATATATATATAATTGGAATCTCGGAAACGGCTCCAGCGATTTTCATGAAATTTAGTATGTGCATAGATTCGGGGGCGAAAAATCGATCTAGCTAGGTTTCATTTTAAGAAAATGTCCTTTTATCCCTGTTTTCTGAGGAATGAAAAATATAATTCGAATATGACGGTAAATTTCGCCGCAAGACAAAATGTCAAAATAGCTCGGTCGGTAATCGGGCGGCCCCAAAACAGACGGCCGTGGTTCGCGTCACGATCATTTACACATTAATTTTTTACTTTTTTTTCGATTCCAGATCTTTGCTTTCTTTATTTTTAATTTTTTGTCGATTTGTTATTTTGTTATTTTTTTCCCTTTTTTTTTAAAGCTCTTTCTTTTGTGAAAAACATCAGTTCATATTTTCTTATTATTACGTCGGTAAGATCGAAAAACATTATGCATATTTCATTACTCAGTAATTTGTATCTAAATGTAATTTCCAAAATACAAGATTTACCAAAAAAAAAAAAAACAAACCGAGCAAAGCTCGGTCCTCCGGGTACTTATCAAAATATGCAAAATGGTAAGTTTTTATCAAGCTGTGTTTTCATTGAAAAATTGAAGTCGATGATGGAAAAAACAGCGCACGAAGGGTTCCGTAACATTATCTATAAAAACATAAAAAAAATCATGTCTGTTATATGGGAGCCCCACTATAATATTTTTTTATTCTGTTTTTTAGTGATTATTGTTACAGCGGCAACAGAAATACATTATCTTTGAAAATTTCAACTGTCTAAATATCACGGTTCATGAGACAGTCTGGAGACGGACAGACAGACAGCGGAGTCGTAGTAATAGGTTCCCGTTTTACCCTTTGAATACGGAACCCTAAAATAGCTGTCGGAAAAGCAGCCATGGGGGCACCAAACATTGAAGAGGTACCAAATATTGGTATGCGAAACTTGTATCATATTTATATTCTTGGAAAAACCGCCATGACCATTCGAAAATGGTAAAGTTTTATATCGTACTATAATATCTATATAATACTAACAACAATATTAGGATGCTGAATTGTGAATTCGTTTAATCGCGCCAAAATTAGGTCATCCTCGCTAATCCCTTAATAACCACGCGATGTAGTGACGTGGTTTTCCCGAGCACAGATAAGATAAAAAACTGCGATTTGACGGCCATTTGTTTTGTTGTTTATTACTACTACCGTTTCATATAATATTTCATATAATATATCCCATATTATAGCGAAAAAGAGATGTCTGTACATTACAAAACATCCTTACTAATAAAAATATAGCTTATACGTCAGAATAAGACATAGGCTATAATTTATATACATATTTTTGTGTATATCTGTCTTTCTGTCTGAATGTTACGCCTTCAGCCCATTGTACGCAGACGTAGTCGCGGGCAGGAGCTAGTTTTTAATATTCCAAGAATGCATAATCTATGTATTATGTAAATCGTATTAGAGATAGCTTGATGTTGTATATACATTTAATTTTTACCAAACCAAGTACCCTATCGGCCAACCCAAGTTCCAGAAATCTAATCAGAAAAATCAATAAAATAAACGCCTACACGCAATCATTTGCTTTTACGATTAAGAATATCGTCTATTATGACCAATTGGTATGTTAGTTCCTTTGTCTGAAGGCACGCTTTCATGCCATTTCCGTACCAATTTAGAAAGTCTAGCTGGAAAAATCATACAGAAACTCAACCCACATCCAAATTATTTGCACTACCACCCAAATATGAGATAATTTAAGCTCTTCAAATTCTCTTGTGGCATATCTACCGAGATGTTATTGAACTAAATATCATTTGAACAAATCTCGGTACTCAAATATCGACGTAAGCAGATATAGTAGAGCCGTGATGGTTTACCGATTGAATAACTGAAAGATCTCGATAAATAGGTCTGGTTTTAAATAACCATATTGAATACGTTACCAACTTGAAATCTTAAAATACTCGTAATTCAGATGCAATTTTACGGGTCTAAAACTGAAACTGCTAAAACACCGATGGCTGACAAGTCTTGACATGGTTGGCTAGGCGAGGTTGGGCTACCAGTGGAACTGTCAAAACTATATAAAGGCTAGGCCTCTCTCAGACTCCGTCATTAAGGAAGTTTCGAAAATGATAAAACGATGTCTTGGGTTCCGGTTGGTGAGCGGGTAAGCTTATTAGTTTTTAAGACGACCCGATTGGCGTAGTGGGTAATGAATGCCTCTTGCGCCAGAGGGTGTAGGTTCGATCCGCAGTACTGGAAAAATATTGTGTGATGAACATAGTTTTTCCAGTATCTGGGTGTTTTTATAATATGTATGATACGTATTTATTTACAAAAGAAAAGTATGTGTATCGGTTATGCAGTACCCATAGTAAAACCGTTGCTTAGTTTGAATCTAGAGAACGTTAACAATAACTAGTCTATACATAATATATGGCTTTACAGGTAAACGTTATACATACCTGCTTATGTCTAATTTTCGAGGAGGCGTGGTAGGCAGCCTCCAGCTTTGGGTTATTTGGTGCTTTCTTTGGTCTCGTGTTCTTAATACCTAGTGACTTTCCGAATGGCGCGAACCAGTATCTGGAACAAAGAAAATATTTATATGTATATATTTCTTTTTATTTGAATATACATTTACTTATTTACTTGTATATTTATAAATTAAAATATCTTATTAATTTTGATTTTAGATAAGGTTTTTTTAATTCATTGAGTGAACTCACTTCTTTACTCGAAAAATTATTTCTTTTTAGTACATCCAAAGGTTGCCTTGAAGAAATTACTTTTAGTAATAAGGCCGCCCATTGTACATAAGTATTACAAGTACGTAAGTGAGTACACTTATACATAAAGTTTTGGATTTTTGTTTGTTTTATTTCTGGTGTGCAATAAAATATATTCATTCATTCATTCAAAGAAAATTGAGGCGGACTATTATACTCGCGTACAATCGCGGTCTCGACTTCTGCTTGTTTGGATGATACTATCGCTTTCAAGCGTCATGTAATGTTGAATAGAATAGAACAGAATCGATATAGCTTCATCATAGACAGTTTTGTATGAGTTTGCGAAGACACTACGAGGTTTTTAAGTAACGTGCAAAAGACGTAACAGAAGAACGGCGTGAAATGGAAGTGTTGTAGGTACTTCTGCATTTTGCCCGGCTGAGTGAAGTAGCCGGGGCCCACTTGATGCAAATGAAACGTAGAAGTATAACACCTCCTTGATCCTCGTAGTATCTTAGTAACATCAGCTTTGTTATATTTGTAGACCGCTTACTTTTGAAAACGATAGTGCGGCCTACGTCTATTTGCCGGGAGCGAACTATGGGCTTAAAGGCCAGTAGTCGGTAGATTCCACCAATGGCTTAATTCTAACGTGCGAGTGACTACCTCGTGACTCCGTGATGTCTGATGTCCGTTGACTCCGTGGCGCAGTAGCCAAGGTAAGTTTCAGCGCCGAGTGTTATGGGTCCGTGTGGGACAGGAGACAACTATTAATGTGACCCGCATATAATTGTATCGAATCTGTGTGTTTGTCCACGTGAAATTTATGAATGTAAAACGTCCTTACAACACATGATAATTGTATCCTACAGTAAGGGCCAAAATTTTCGAAGGGCCTACTGGCCGACCCCTTCCATGCCAAACACAAATACAAATGTCTCACATTTGCGCTTGCTTTTCGGCGATGATCTGATCGCTTGTCATATATGTAAAAGAGATTGTATGTTTGTCTCTATGTTCGCTCACAACTCGCGAACCGTTTTTCCACGTTTACGACGTGGCCACTCCTACGAACATAGTTACGTACGATACATGGCAGTGAAATTACTTTTGAACTTTTGGAATTTTGTATATAAAAACGGTCGATTTTTCTAGGTGAACCGATGCCCACCAGGCACTGGCTAATTTGGGAAATAATAAGCACAGTGAAACATCAATAGTATTAGCCATCAGTACAACATGCGGAATAAACATGCATAAAAAAATTCCGAAGATATGTGAAGTCCGCCAATCCTCAGTGGGCCGTGTGGTGGACTATGCCCTGATATCGTCTGTACAGAAGATTCCTTTGCCCGGCAGAGGGACATGAATAGGCTGATACTTCACCTTACATCATGGGGGAGATGCTTTATCGCCAAAGGCAGTGGTGGGATCTGAACATCGAAATAGAATCTTATTTGGAATAGAATTGACTTTTGAATTATAATTTAGATATCTTAAGCATTATTTTAACCAGTTAGTTATTTAAAATCATGTTTAATATAACTCTTTTAGATTAAGTGAAAGTATGAAAGGCTTTTGTAAATGGAATGATGTTCCTTTTTTATTGGAAATCAATTACAATTACGAACGAAATTTAATATTGCTTTTTGTGTCCATTGTTATTACAATGTAAACTTAATTGTAACCTGTAACCTGCAACCTACTACCTAAATTACAATGGGACTACTAATAAAAAAATTCTATCTACTACTTTCTAGACAAGAATACTACTTCTGGAACCTTGCTTGTGTGGGGGCCACAGAACAGTCTTTCCTGTCGCACAAATCGGCAGGTCTTTCAGGGAAGTACCACAACCTCACAGAAAACCACAGTGAAGTGAAAGTGTAACACTTCTGTGTTTTGTCTGGTGAGTGAGATACTTTACAAAAAGGTGGCAAAGCATCTGCAAACCTACAGTGGTTGAAAAATGTCAATGCGCAATGGCTATCTTCTAAAAAAAAAAATAATAAAATTAAAAACAATATAGATATAAAGTTTTTATTATATTTTCTAATTTATTTAAAAAATATAATATGATTGATTTATTTAACAGATAATTAGGAAATAATATCTGTATATTTAAGAATCAACAGTAGAGGAATTTCTCAGCCAGAGTTACATTTACATTTTATATAGGAGACTCACAAAGGTAAAGGACTAAGGAAAAATAAAAAATAAAGACTTAGATCACTCTTCACTTCAAAGAAAGACACAAATTACCTAAATTTTACATTTATTTATAAAGGAATAATATATCTCTCCACTGCTTTTGGGTACCATACTGGTTTAATATTTAAACACGCAATTTATATATTATTATACATTATTTTATATATTTCTTTAAATGGATTCATAGTCAATTGCATGCCTATACATATGAAATAATAATAACATATACCAAATTACTTTAAATATAATATAAATAATGCGGCGCGTGTATGGATAATAATATTTCCCGCTGCAATGTCCATACGGGAATCATGCGTGATCTTATCACTGGACATCTCATTGATAACGCACAGTGAGTCACTGAACGTGAAATAATCAGCACACAGCCACACTTTTTACCGATGAAAAGCACTGAAGTGTAATACTCACTTTTCTAATAAATGCCGTAGACCTATAAGTACTATAGCCATCGGCAGGGGATATAGAAGATGTCTGTGATCATTGTACACCACACTCTTATCAGGTCCTGGAGCAATATCCACCCAAGTCGTGTTCGGGGGCAGCCAAACATCTTCGTCCCAAAATTTATCTAATAAAGACTGCAACATTCTCAATATTTTATTCTAAACAAAGTAACGTTCGCACCGTATTATCACAAACTTTCACGCTTAAATTTTTGGAAATAACTATGATATCGCTTCATTAATACACCCAATCAAATATTACAGTTGAATTGAATTAAACGTCAAATTGCGGACCGACAGCAGAGATTTCACATTACGCACAACACCACTGGTTCGGTTACATTACACTCCAGTATTTATAATCTAATGCGCTCTTTTACTGGCCGCAAGACCTACATTGCGTTAGTCAAAAGTCAATATATGACAGCGATTATCGATGTTGTTCGATTTATCAAGAAACATCGAATGATAATTTGTTTTGAGCATATTTTGCTTTTTTTGTGGATTTTTTGGCCCGGTATCAAGGACCTAGTCTTAATTTATACGCACATCACTTCACTTTATTTACTTGGTTATTATAGTTTCATGAATGTATTTTTAATATATTTGTAGATTGGATAATAGGTTTATTTAATTTTTAGTAATTCACACAAGTGGTGGGGGGGTATTATTTATGTGTAAACAACTTTCACTTATAAATGAAACTAATTTTACGGATTTAACGCGTTTATTTTTAATTTTAATTCCCTACGTTTCGAACCCTTTACAGCGTTCATTGTCATGGGACAGACTATGAACGCTGGACCATGTCACGTGGACTAAGTTTATTAGATAACATGTAATTTAGTTATTTTAGTTAGATTTAATATTGTAAAAACCTTTTCATGTTTGTGAATGAAAATAATTGCTGTTGAAACTTTAGGTCCGTGTGGTCCCCGCACATCAAATTTTTTTAAAAGTTTATGCCTAGGCTTAACACCGCGGCTGGTGACAAGAGAGCTGGTTCTTTTCTCGGTCAAAGGTTAAGCTTAACTATTCAGCGAGGAAATGCAGCTAGCGTTCTTGGCACCATACCGCGTGGATTAGGTTTATTACATAATATGTAATTTTGAATAGATTTAATCTTGTAAATATTAGATCATCAAAATAATTCTGAACTAAATTGTTCACTACTTTGACAGTTGTCAAGTGTCATACATAGGTATGTTATTCAGAATTTGACATGAATTTGATTTGAAGTTGAAGTTCGATCACATTCACATTATAAAACTTATTTTGATTAATAATTGTTTCCCAATTATGTATTAGAGTTGGACATGCTATGAAAATAAGTTTTATGTATGTTAATTCTTAATTCGGCTTTTGTAGAATTATTATAAAAATAATGTTATTCTGCCCAACGTGCGCTAATATTTTAATGGTAGAAGAGCGGCCAGAGTCTGGATTACGTTACGCGTGTAACACGTGCCCTTATGTATATAATATTATAAAAAAAGTGTCGTCTCGCACATTCCCTAAATTAAAGGTTTAGTATGGAAAATATTCGTTTCCGATAATATTAGAAATAAATAACATACCTATTTCGTAAATTATCAAATTTTGATGTAAATGAAGTTCATATCTTTGTAATTTTATAATTATATAGTAAATTGTAAATTTTTGAGTCTTCACCTTTTTACATGTTATTATGTTTTAAATTTATACCGTTATAATGACCACTGTCTAGCTATTTTATAACCAATCTTTTATTTTCTAGGAACTTGACTATATTATGGGCGGCGCTGCTGCCTGGGAAAACGTGGACTCTACAGATGCAGTTTGCCCGAAATGTGGACATGGTAGGGCCTATTTCATGCAGCTACAAACTCGATCAGCTGATGAACCTATGACAACCTTTTACCGCTGTTGTAACCATGAGTGTGCCCACAACTGGCGTGATTGAGTTGCTTTCAAAAATAAATAAAAAGCATGTTTTTGCTTAAAGGACCTGGTTTTGCTAGTAGTTTCTTAGTGAGAAATAAAACAGTGTCAAGGAAGATGAAGATTGATAAAATGGCCGGAGTTATTAAGTGTTCGGATAATAAGGCATATGCTAAAGCAGCACGGTTTTTAGCAGATGGACATGTAATTGCAGTGCCTACTGACACCATTTATGGGCTTGCCTGCAGTGCAAATTGCCCACAGGCAATTAAGAAATTATATTCCATTAAAGGAAGAGACTCCGCTAAGCCTGTAGCAATTTGTGTTACTTACATAGAAGATGTTCGTAAATGGGGTAAGGCTGATCATCTAACTGACGATTTACTCTATACATTACTTCCTGGACCCATTACAATTGTTTTAGAGAAAACACAACATCTAAATAATCCTTACCTAAACCCAAAGACAACTAAAATTGGCATAAGGATACCCAACTATTTATTCATAAATAAAGTCACCAAGGTATTTGATCAACCGGTTGCATTAACCAGCGCTAACTTTAGCAATGAGCCTTCTACACTTTCAGTGAAGGAATTTGAACATCTATATGGCCATTTAGGTGCGGTGTTTGATGGCGGAGTTTTAAGCGAGGGTTTAGAGCGAAACAGAACAGGTTCTACAGTCATAGATTTATCAAACGAAGGATTGTATAAAGTGATTCGTAAGGGGATATCTTGGGAGAAAGTAGTAACAATCCTTGATAACTATGGAATACACAGTATTGTTGAATAACTTTTTACATTGTTGACCATGTTTAAGATATTACTTTTTAGAAGGTAAGTATTTTTTTATGTAATTAAAAAATTGGTATTGTTTGCTGCAAAGTTTGTAATTATTAAAAAATATTGATTAAATATAAAGTATGATACCAGTTCTTTTTTTAGTTTTATCTAGCCCTTGTTTCTCATGATACAATCTCAAATCATAGTTGGTTACAAATGAAATATTTGGACCCCACATTTTCTTTATTAAGATGTATTTACTGTCCAATAATGCACTCTTATCATTGCATAAATCCTTTCAAGAGGTATAAATAAATACTATTTACTTATTATTAATCATTAAACTGATGTAACAAGTAGTAAGACAATTAAATAAGAAGATATTTAATTGTCTCTGAGATATTTGATTCATAGATTGATTCATATTTTCAGATATTGATTCATAGATATTTAAAAAAATCATATTATTATTGGATTTTGCAATTATTACTATGCATATTGCAATTTTTTTATAACTTTTAAAAATATAATAAAATAGGAACACATTGGCAGAACTATATATGGTAACTGTTGAGATGGCTTTCCAAAAATGAACCCAGATAAATCTTAATACAAATAAAGATCTAAATACACAAATTTGTAAATTCAAATTTTCTTAAATGTACTGTGGTGCTTCCACCACACTGTAGCTAAGAAAACTTGTATTTAGCTCCACTGTCGCAGCAAAAGGCTCCTATTCCACATAGAAGAAAGAACAGTTTTTATACTTCATATTCACTGGAGGCAGATCACCTGAACATGTGGCCACAATCAGTGGTGAGGAGACAACATAGAAATTAATTATTTCTTGCACATGCAATTTATATGGACGAGTCTCCACATTAAGTTTAAATTAATAATGAAATCTGTGAACAAATTAAACTACAAAAATTTAAAATTAAACGCCATATAGTTTTTTTTTTTAATTTTATAATTGCATAAATGTAATAATTTGTTTTTATATACACTTTCAATATAGTAGGAATGAAATAAATATGCATTATTTCTTAATTGTAAGCACAGGAGTCAAAATGACTGATTATCAGACTCTTTTTTATTGTAGAATAAGGCTAATAATAGTATAATAATTTTATAACTAATGAGGATACAATAAATAGTTTAATTCTGAAATGATAAAATGCTTTTGTATTTTGTATTATACAGAAAGGTCATTTGTTTCAATAATATTTTTACTTCAGCACATTATTAAAAATGAATTGATCAAAAATGTGTATAGCAAAGTTTTATATCATAAATATCAACACTGAATATAAAATTTTATGTTTTGCAGTTATTAACTTAGAGATATAATATAATTCATGAGCAAGTAATTCTACATAATGAAACCATTAAGCCTATTTTTGATAACTACACAACACTGAGATTTATAAACCTATACTAAGGGGTCGTCTACTTTCTGGTAGCTTAGTTTCAAGTTTCTGCCATCTATCTGGTGGCCAGACAATGCAAATGGCTTTGGCTGTGATTAATCCTAAAGAAACTGGTCCAAAAGTGTTGCTATCCAATGTGTGGCCAGTGTGGTCACCTTCTACCCAACAATGACCTTCGGGAACTTTGACATATTGATTCTTGTAGCCCATTGTATTAACTACGTCGCCTTGCAGAGCCACTACACGTTTAATTATCTTTTGGTTTGGATTTTTTGGAGAAGATAATGATATTACATCACCTCGTTTGATGTCGTAGTCCCTAATTGCCCATCTTGATAGGAACACATAGTCCGTGTTAGTGGATTCCGGATTTAGCGCTGGCTGCATAGAAATCCCTTCTACTTTGGCCACATATCCAACAGTGTCTAAGAATGTTATACCGATGGGTATACCGAATAGAATAGATCTACATACACTTCTGAACGACATTAAATCAATTTTGTGATTTTGAAACCATAAAATTTTAGCATCATACTCATTAATGTCCAAACGCTTTGATTACATTCTGATGATACTGTTCTAGGGGTAGGTTTTAGCAAGTTTTTGCTTGGTTGGTTATGGTTAGACCGAATAATGACAGCTGCTTTTGTGCGAATTGTCACTGTCAATTTTTTGGCGTTTTGGCGACATTGTTTGAGTTTTTCTTTTTTTCCCACTCCGATAATTTAATTATAATTATAAACAATTCATCCATGAAAATAATTTAATTTCGATAATTTGCTTATTTGCATTAATACGGTGTAATCAGATACTATGTTAAATAAATAAATAATTCGCTAACCCAGTCAGTCTTAAAAAATATAAAGTTTTACAATTAATTACGTAACGAGCAAACGGTCGCATGTAAACTCGGTCACTCGCTAATAAGTAACATTAACTATATTTACATTATTTATTATATATTAACATAATACGACATAAGAGATTCAGAAGCGGTCAGGAATACGAGGGTATTCTGTGTAGGTTGCGAATCAGGTGCTGTACCAAAAATGTATTTTTCAATATATGTATTGCGTGCCGCATTAGGCGTAGTTTGCTGATACACCGGTGGAAGTAAACCAGCTAAAATCTCTGTCGCCTCGTCCAAGACGTGCCGTGTTGTCGGGGGGAGAATCACATTATTTAAAGCGCGCGTTAATGTTACGTCCGGATCGTCTATTTCATTCATGGGTCGGCCTAGTCCGATGCAGGGTTCGATGGCGTGCCAGATGGAATTGTCTAGAAAAAAGTTCAAAACCAACGTACATGAATGGTTTTTTTAACACTAAAACCTTTACTTATTGTTTTAAAGTACGTATCTTATAGCCGTTTCTTTAAAGAAGGTGGGTAGTTTAGATTTTTGTATTGCAATGCAATTCGGCATTCTGCATACATTTTTTTTATCTGAGAAAATTGTACAAACGAGCTAGCGGTTCACCTGATGTTAAGTGATAAACGGCGCCAGTGGACATTTGCAATACCCATAGGGATGTAGATGCATTGCCCCCTTTAATAAAGTGGGCCCCGGTTACCTCATTCATCAGAGGAAACGTAGAAATGTAACACTCCCACTTCACGCCGGTCTTATATATACATTAATCATTAAACACTGTTGCGTGGGCCACGCTTAAGAAATTCATTGCCTGACGAAGGAAGTTATTAGTGGGGATACGCACGAAACAGACAGTTGCATATCTCATAGTGGAACGTACACATGCTTTCTCTAAATTGTCTTTCTAGATGGCAGTTCGAGGTGAGACAAAACGTTATTCACCTTACTCGCTACAGCCTAATAGTACTAATGTGCTGTACGAATGTGAGTTATTTTATTTAGCATAACGCCAAAAAAAAAATACGGCCGTACTTTCCCATAGAATGGGTTGGCCGAATGACAAGAGGAAGTTTTTTCTTTCAGTGCTAGTTTGAGTGACGATTAAACGTGATCGTCCTAATTGAACTTGATCCGTCACTTTCTATAGATCTGAACCATTCGCGTCATTTAATAAAGATACAATACAGAATAAAAATTGCAGACTGTTAAGAATCCATAAATAATTTAATTCTCATACCTAGGGTAGGTATGAGAATTAAATTATTTATGGATTAATTATTATGGATGGCAGGTTGAGAGAGGACTCGCAACGACTAAAACCCAGACGATGTTCCAACCAAAACAAATATTGACAGGGTCACGGGAACAGTTTCGCATACTTCCGCAACTTTGCTAGCGCTGGCCAGCAGCACTTCCACGGGGAGCAACCCCCTCCTACAGGTAAGGTGTACTGGAAATTAGAGCGTGCCTTCCAATTTGGCTTCTTTCATAGAGGCAACCGATGGCTCCTTTCCCGCTGCCCCGAGGCAATGGGATGGGCAATAAAATTTGTAGAAAAAGTACGAAAAGGTTGTCGCCGCTGTGGGAATCTAACCCACGCCTTCGGCATTCACGGCCTGTCGCTTTAGCCACTGAGCTAAACGGCTGATTGCACATCGACGAAAATCTTAACGTCTTTTATCTATCTTTTTTACCATTTGCAGCAATGCTTGGCGCATCCATCGTTATATCCTTTCCAGCATACAAACAATTTCGGATATCGCATTACAACGATAATTCGAATGAGAGATGTAGCCAATGCTTTTTAGAAATTTAACTTTTTTATAGTGGCCTAGTGCTAATCTCTGCAATTAAACATTAAAATTTGTAGAAAAAGTACGAAAAGATATGTTATAGTTAATTATGTAATTAAATGCTTTTGTTATAGAATTAAAAATATCGCAAGTAATTGTACTTATGCTGTGTCTGAGTGCTAGCAAAATTACGATATTAAATGAATATATAATAAAAAAAATTACGGTGTTTTTAATTTAAAGTAGTCGTAAAGCTAATGTTATTTGTAGCACAGCTCATTGTTATTACATTGTCACGTCACTCAACATAACCATGAATGACCATAGATTATAGAAACTCAGATTCGGTCTCTGCTTTATTACAAATACTCAAAAAAGTGTTGATGCTTTCTGTAGTAAATCACAACCACCACCAACCAAACAGAAATTTTAGACATTTTATATGTGTATAACAAGTACAATATAACATAAAATTAAGTCAACAAACATAACTTTAAATTAGTTTAAGCCTGAAAAATCATGTAGAAAGGGTTGTCGCCAGATGGAAGTGTCCCGTGGTGGAGAAAAACTTACAACCTGCATAATCAGCTGTCAGTGAGCAGGATCATCTGTCTCTGTAAATATAAAAGCTAAAACGATCGTGAAACGTTTTTGTTGCCTGTGTGTAAATAATGAAGTGAACAACCACGGTACGATGTGAACTAGATGCTGCGTCTGCCGAGCTCGGATGTAGAGGCAGATATGGGATGATAACCTATCAAATGAGCGAGATGTTCGCTATGGCTGGTCTCCCGTGAGGACACGCGAGACAATATTTTTTTATCAAAACATCAGTAAAAAGCAAAATATGTCCGGTGAGTTTCCCTTTACGGCGAAAATAGTCAGTCCAGTCAAGTGCAATGAGAAGCCTTGGGATCTGTGGGTTAGTGAAATAGGCCACCTGTCGCCTCGTCCTGACGATGAAGTCGGGGTGTTCACGACGCCGGCGGCTGTGGAGCCGAAGGGTGGCGCGTCCGTGCGGCGAGTGCACGACGCTCATCCATATAAATTGGCGGATAGAGGACAAGCGCGGTATCGTCGCGCGGGCCTTAACCGCCTCAAGTATGAGAGCATGAGCCTACATGGACTCTTCCCACAGATGGACAATTTAAATGCAGCCGTGTGTCATATGTGTGGAGTGGTAGTGAAGTGTTGTGCAGCATATAGACATTTAGTAGAGTCCCATTCAGGATGCGAACCCATTCTCCCCCCTCCGCCGCCAGCGCCCACAGTGAAGCTCAAATCGGTACCAAGCAGGAGTAGACACAAAAAGGAGGTGCCACCACCACCCCTTCCTGTAGATTTTCTCCCAGTGAAGATGGAAACTTCCCCGGCACACAATGCAACAGCACCACTCTCTAGGATAGTGCTGCCACAGCCTGAAATGCAATACTTAGATGAGGCCAGTACGTCAGCAGCAGGAGAAGTACAAGTTAGCGTTGAAAGTGGAGAGTTACCAGTTGTTAGTATACAGGACACAGATGAATTGCCCCTTGGTGAAAACATTACCGATGACATATTTGCAATAATGAACTCTGAAGGGATTCAGAGTGCCGATGACATCACAAATGCTGCCGACTGGAAAAACATAATCAGAGATATAGGAAATATGCAGGAGATCAATTTTCCTCAGACCACCGACACTGTGCAATCACAAGACTTATATACATCAGTAGATGCAAACTCTCTTTATACCATAGCCGATACAGATTTATCTAGTTTACAATTTGCAACTAACACATCTCCGATGCTATCATCTGTGATAGACACAAATGTACTGAATGCTCAAGCTTTAAAACCGGTGGCGCCTAGCACACCGTCGACTAAGTCGCAATCTCGATCGAAAACGAGTAAATCGAAGTTTAACTTGCGTGAATACGATCCGAACAAGCACTGCGGCGTGGTGACCGCAGAGAACCCGAAGCCCTGCACGAGGTCCCTGACGTGTAAAGCGCACGCGCTGTCGCTACGCAGAACGGTGGAGGGACGGTCGAAGCCATTCGACACCCTTCTGGCGGAGCACAGAGCGTCACGGGACGCCAACTCCTCCCTGTCTAACTCCGCACCGGTTTCCCTGCACGCAGCGGCGGTTCAGCCGTCGCCAACCACACCGCTCAACCTCCCACCTCTCCTCGACACGAACCTGGACCTCAGCGTGCTCAACGGCCTGACTGCCGAGCAGCAGGTCAACGATATCTACGAGAGCCTACTCAGCGTCGAGGACCCGAACTGCGTGCTGCCAGACACGTCCAGCATAACATCCCTTCTCAGCCAGCCGCTGCCACCGGGGCCCTACCTGCTCCCCGATGTCGCGGATCTGCCGACCGACGTTCCTATACTGAGTATAGCATCGCCCGTCGAGGCCGCGCCGCCTGTAAAAGTGGACGAGAAGCCCGAGGGTCCCCCCCACTTGGTCCCCAGCGACGTGTGCTGGTACTCGTCTTGCCCCAGGCCGCTCGCCCTGTGCACCTTCAACGCGTCCCACGCGGGCGGCGCAGTCACGCTAGGCAAGAAATTCGCGACTGTCCGGAGTAACATCAAGTCCTCGCTGAGCAGGTCGTGCAAGTCGAGCGGAACGTCGAACAATTATTATTACCAGAACGCGCTCTCGTTATCAAAGACAATGCATATGAACAATACCAGTAAGACTAACAAGCCCGAAGTGCGCAAACTAATAGTGACGTGCAGTGCTACTAGTGGTTGTAAAGATGTCCAACAGACATTGAGCGATCTCTTTGGCAGTGCGGACATGAGGCATACGTTAAACGGGCATTTAACACATGTAGAGAGGAAACCTAGGTCTAGTTCAATAAAGAGCGCTAAGCGACCTTCACCGGCCGTGCTGGACCTAGGTTTTGCTCTTGATCCTCTCCTTGCAGATGAGAAATGTTGAACTGCCGTATAAGCAATCACCGGTTGTGTAGTCATATATTTGTATATTTATTTTTCTGTAAAGAATCGAATCGCATTGTAAATGTAAATTAATCACGAATTTTTTCCCCAACGGAATTTAATGTTATGATAATACTAAATCTCATTCTTTTGTCCAGAGAGCGAACTAATGTTTGTATTATTTTGTACATTATTTATAAGAATTTTCTAAAATCGTTCTCTGCTGCCTTTGGCGCATATTAGGAAAATTAAGTAATAGATTATGCAGAATGGTTGTATTTTTTTGAGACGACAAACTGTTAATCACTGTTAATACTGAAATGAATACTGCGAAATGGCCTAGGTTTAATGTTTAATGTGATGAAATTTTCCATGTAAAAATATAAATACTATGAAATAAGTCTATTCATAATAGTAAATTGCCTCCTTTTGAAAATAAAGGCAGATACCTCAATAACTGAAATGAATTGTTTTAATTAGTATGGGGTTTTTCATGAAATCTTTAAATTATGTTGAGTATCAAGTTAACAATACATATTCAAATTAATGTTAATCTTGGTTTTAATAACAATATAAATGGAATTATTGCATATACTACATATCACATATCTTAAAGTTCTGTATAAACCAATATGGGTTGTGAAATGTCATTTCAGAAGAATTACTTAAGATGTCATCCTCTTGTGTTTTATACAATATAAGTCTTTGGAACTGCGTAAAGTGAAGTTCCAAAATAAGAATTCAAGTTTGTTGTGCCATAAAATGTTTGTTACATATTAATGTTGTATGTAAAATTAATTTTGCAATTTAAAAAAACAATGTCCTCAATTTAAATGTTCTATAAAGGCATAAGAATCTATTTTATACATTAATCATTATACAATTTATATATTTCACATATTCACTGTAGATTTAAAAACTGAAATTGGCAGTATATAGAGATAGAATGTTATGTTTTTTTCTAGATTTGGGGGTACATTTCCCATTTAAGACTAATAGTATGATCTAAAATGATTCTTTCGGATCTGGCTGTATCTCCTTGTTTGCAACAGATTCAGGATCATCTCTCATAGAAAGGGTTATGTTTGTAACATACTTAATTCATCATGCTAAGGTAATGCACACCATTCATTGTGGTAGAAAGCAATGTCTTCTGTTGCACAAATGGGCAGGCCCGTTCGGGAAAATACCACAGCCCCGGACGACCGCCGTCAAGTGTAATATTTTATATATACATATACTTATATATATATGTACAAAGGTTCGTCCGGTGAATAAGGAAGCCAGGGCCAAATTTTTAATGATCGTTCGCGAGTTGATATTATTAGGCTATAAATAATCTTGGGATTCGAACATTCGACATATTTACAAAAGGAAATTTTATCGCAATATGTATTTTTATTTATTGTATGTATTTCAAAACCGTGTTACGGTTGTCGTATTTCGAAAAAAAAAAAGACTATTTTCCAAATATAGACACATAGGTATTTGCTTTCCATCGTAATCGAATCTAAAGCCTATGCACTATCGAAGGTCAGTTTAAGAAAGGAAAGACTGCAGCTGTCACCACCAAGGTCCGAGAACTGGATTACACGAATATGAGATGCAAAACCGACATTGGTCGTATGCAGTTCTAGTGTTAAATGAATCGGAAATCTAATATGTATTAATTCCAGAAATTGCTAGTGTACTCTACACTCGTGTTATATTTGAGAAATGGCTGTGGCAGGAATTATTGCTTTCGTTAAAATGCACTGTAGGTTTTAACTATTAGCAAACTAGCAATGAACCTATGTGCCATTCAAAAAATAACCCACGCTCAGTAAGAGATTTAATAAAAGCCCTCGTCTAGTATTTATTTTTTAGTAATCCGGGGTAGCCTGTGGCCAAATCAGGATACTGTTTTTCAGTTTGTTTATTTAAGAGCAACTGCTTTAACCGCCAATCGTAAAATTTGATTATTAAAATATCTATTTTTCCAAGATCGGTATGTCTCCTAAGTCCATGGAAGTTAACAGCAAGTACCAATTTTTTTTTTTTACTGGAGACAGATGTAAAGCTTAAGGTTTGTCTCCCCTGGTTCGCCCGGTACTTTCACCATATCAGATATCTGATAATATTTTTTCTCCTTCAACGCAGAACACTTGATAAGTCAGCATTTAAAATTGCAATAACATTTTCATTGGTGCCGGCACCGGAGTTCGAACTCTGATAGTTAGAGTATTTTGAATTAAAAGCGAGTGCTCGGACTATCATCATATTAACACAGCACCTCATATTGCGGTAAAAGCTGGATGATTAAATAATTTATTAAGCAGAACTAACCTAATACCGTGGATACCGTTGTTTTCTTAAAATTTATCGTTGGTACTGTGGTAGGCCCACGCAACAGACGCTGTTGCACAAATGGGCAGGTCCGTCCGCGGAAGCACCACGACCTCATAGGAGACCGGCGAGAAGTAGAAGTGTTACACTTCTGCGTTTTACTTGGTGAGTGAGGTTGCCGGGGCCCACTTAATGAAAGGTGGTAACGCATCAACAACCTTACGGTCTTGTAGGTGTCCATGGGCAGCGGATATCACTCACCATCAGGTGACTCGCCAGCTTATCACATAAAAATACGTTCAGTAGCATTTCTATAACGTTCCATCAAATCGCCGCGACCAATCTTCGGGCAATGAAGCGGCGGAAAGTAGGAAAAATTTTGGGTACCTCGTCTTTTTGATAATGTCCTCAAGTACAAATCAACTTATTAGTCTTTGAGAAAGAAAAGGGATAAAGAAAACGCGATAATGTATCTATCAAAATATAAATTGGCTTCTACGTCGCCGCATTTCAGAATCTAAATATAACGTTGTTTGTTTATTTGATTTAAATTGAATTAATTTTAGAATTAAAACGTTTTCATTGCGGCGTTCGGTATTGAGACTAAAGCTTTTAGATCGTTTTGCAAAATATCTGAAGGATGTAGGAAAGACATGGGCATGCAACAAATCATTTAGCTACGTCATAGTTAACACTATCATGTTACAAGATGTAAAATGTTTTGCTCGGAATGGGTCCTCTGAATAATATGAATTTTATGAAATATTCATCAGAACGGATCAGAGGCCAACTTTATAGTATCTTCCTAGAGGAGTAAAAGCTACGAAGTAGTTTTAAATCAATACAATCGTTTTTGCAAAATATCTAAATTGTACTTGTTTCAAAATAATAACAAGATTGCTTCTTAAATTATGGAATAAATCGGAGGTTGATTCATAATGGAACAGTGGAAACCAATAAAAGTTGCGCGAATTGTGCAAACATCGGCGGGCAGAGTCGACCGCAGCACCACGCGGTCATCGGAATATGGTGATCAATTTTGACATCAACGCGATGTTGGCTATACGATACAAGTTGTATTATTAACGTGGAACCAATAATTACATTGATCTCATTCCAAATAACACGGACTATTTTTTTAATATTATATATTCATATATAATGATTATGTGAAAGAATATGCTACAAATAGTTGTATATTATCTATAAAGATCAAGTATATAGTTTAAATATATTACGTAAACGGTAGACTCGCTTCTTTTTACACCTTTAGTGTATTTACGAGTTAACAGCGAGTGAATGCACTAAGTTATTAGTTTAAGCCCGATTAAAAATTTATAGCGTAACTAAATGAGAGGTCAAGAACGTTTTAACGCCAACATGTAGGTCAGTCGTATGATGTAGCACTTTCACCGAACTGTAATTAGCCGGCCGAAGTTGCTGGCGGGTTCAATACGCGTTCGTGTGAACTTGCTCCAACCATAGTTCCATGTTGAACAAAGTCTTTTGTTGGCTCGATGAGTTTGACAACTGCCAAGGACTGTGATTTTTTAAAGTAAATTCACAGCCTATAAACGTCCCACCGCTGGGCAAAAGCCTTCTATGTACAGAGAGTATCAAGGCGCAGTCCATCACGCGACCCTGCGGATTGGCGGACTTCACATATCTTCGAAATATTTTTTGTTATTATTTCGAAAATATGCAGGTGACCTCACGATGTTTTCCTTCACCGTTGAGCACGTGATAGTTCAACACTAAAAATTAACAATTTCATTGGTGCCGGCACCGCGGATCGAACTCGGGTTGCTCGAGAGTATTAAAAGCGAGCGATTAGAATCGAGCGCCCGGGCAATGAGCTATCAAGGCTTGACCGTAATATCGGCTCCTGATGTGTTATTGATTACTTAAAGTTACTGCCCATGGACATAATATCTGTGTCGTGGGAGGTTACACAAACGTGAATATCACGGGCCATATGTCACGTGTGGGAATCGAACCCAGGAGACGGCGTACAAAGGCAGTTGGAGAGGATCATGGTGGTTCAGAAGGAGGCTGTGCGATCGGGAGAGATCCCGCTGATGATCTCAACAGAGCCGAGCTGAGTCGGCGCTAGTCAGACTTAACATGGCCGGCTACTTCTAATGGTAAAGTTTCCTCCATATGGAATTAAAGAGTAAATAATGTAAAATAAGCTTCTCTTGAGTATCAATTTTAGTATTTTAATAATTATTCAGATTCTACTCTTGCACGAATGGGCAGGCTTGTCTGAGTAGGTACCACAGTCTCACAGAAGGCCGTGAACTAGAAGTATTGAATTCTTGATATTCAACTATTGAGTGAGATAACCGGAGTCACTTGTATATAATAATTTATTTTTTTATTTTTTATAATAATAAATAATTTAAAACACATTTTTACACAACTTTCTCTAGTCCCAAACTAAGCAACGCTTGTACTGTGGGTACTAGATAACTGATAAACATACTTTTCCTTTGTAAAAAATACATATTATACATAATATAAACACCCGGACACTGGAAAAACACTATGTTCTTCACACAATATTTAGTAGCATGGTTCGTACCCACACCCTCTGGCGCAAGTGGCAAGTCCGCCTCTCACTACGCCATTCGGGTCATCACACATATGCCATCGAGATAGAGAGCAAGGAGTGTGGAAAATGAGAATCCGTTATCACTGAGTACCCCTCTGGGCGACGTGCGCGAGTTTACATATGTACACACGATATTGTGATAACGTTCCGTTCCATATCCGTCGGGTTTTAGTTCCCGCTTAAAAAACTTAGACGTGGTCCTTTTCAATTTCTCCTTGTTTTAAAACGTTGCCCTTATTGTAGAATAGCATTATGCTATGTTGTAAACACGTTGACAAGCACCCAGATCGGAAACAATTATCACATTGTGGGTCACACAAATATTTGCTTATAGGACTCGAACCCACGATACTCGGCGTCGAAGCCATTACCTTTAAATCCTGCCGGATAACATTACACCCACAGCTAGTGCAACAACAAACACACTAGTTCGCCCTCGCCTCCGAGCACGGCGAGACCAACACAACGCGTACACAAGGTACACCCGCGTTCCAGGGCGGTTCTCACCGCCCCCAGCCACCGATTAGCTAAAAACACAGTCGACGGCCATCGGGGTCTCGGTCCGCACCGCAACTTCGATGGCCCTTAGATGACATGTCGTAGTTAAACGCACGCATGAGCACATGCGCGGCCCTACCCACATCGGAGGGCCCAAACCCGTGGGTTCTGGCTAGCCCACCGGTTCTGCGTCAGATGAAGCTTTAATAGTCTCGGGACTGAAAGCACAAACATCAGTTAATACAAGATACAAGATTACCTTTAAAACTGCGCCAAGAAGACTTCATTGTTTTACTGTTTTATTTCAGTCTTCATTTTCGAGGCTCGCAATAATTGATGTACGCGTTGCGTTGGATGAGTTTTTTTAAAGTTATATAGGAAGATCGGCGTGATAAGTTTTAATAAAGAAACTTTGAGTTTTACCGATCGGCAGGTAAGCTTATGACAGACCTCCGCGATATATGTCGCTTCGTCTATTAAAGTCACGCTGAAACAAAAATTTAGAAAATATCCGAATCGCGGTTAAGCCCCTTCACAAATTTTCATCAACCTTTTTCAATTTGCTAGTTTGGGACCACAATGAAACAACATTTTGAATTACAGAACAGAAATATTCACATTTTAGTCTTTATTTACACACACATAAAGCACATCGTCATACTGCTGTTTCCTAATGCTCTCTGAGTAAGGTATTCGAGAGTGTACTACAATCTACCCGTAGTAATAATGTTTACAAGTCGAACAATATTCAAATATATGGTAAGAGATAAAGCCCATTACTAGCAATATGTGGATTATATCTCACTCTATGAAACTTATAGCTCTAAAAATGACATCTATGATGTTTTTTGCGAATCGATCATAGACACCATTAGCTACTACCCATTGCTTAAATACGTACATAATAGTAACTATAATTTCTGGCCATATATTAGCACATATTTAACTTGGAGCCTAAAAAATACTGTATTTTTAGCTGCAACTAAGTTGTTAGCTCGAATTATGTTATATTAACTTTGACTTTGACTTTGTAATTGGTGATTTAACAACATATTAATTTTATTTATTACAATGTATAGGGACTATTATCATTGTAAGTAACTTTACCAATGTATTACAATGGTGTAATACACAGGGTGACTGATAACATAAATAATTATACGGAGCAATAGAAAAAAAAAACGATGGTACCAGGAGACCTCAAAAATCAACATGACTAAAATTACTTGACAACTACTCAGAGCACAGTCTCCATTCAAAATATTTTACTCTTAAACGATCCGGACAGAGATTGCACGAGATTTTCGAGTGCATCGCTTCTTTATTGCCTCTTCGACCTCAGGTTCGTGGATTTGGTCTTCGATTTCACGATACCCTTGAACTGTTTCGACGTGACCGCCTTTTTCCTGCGGAAAGACAAAAAAATACAATTGGTTATTAATTAGAAAATAAAAGATTTTTTTTTTTGTATAATTGATGTTACTCTTTCCGTCTTTAGACAATTAAAGGTACATCGAACGCAGAACCGGTGGGCTGGCCGGCACCCACAGGTTTAATTTAAAACAACAAACTAGTACTATCTAATTCGACGTCAGAAAACTTATATGCTGCAACCCACAAAGTAATGACTTCTTAATACAAATAATCAATACACATAATACGCAAATGTAATTCTTTTATTAAAAAAAAGGACAACTTTAATGTATGAATTAAAGTGTTTGCTTCCTTTCCATCTTTGTATTGTTACGTACCAAAAACGGAATGGGTAAAACGGAACCTCTCTTTCACTCCTGTCCAATCACCGCGTTCGCTGATAAGTGCACAAATCCTTATTGTACGTTTCGCAAATATTGATGTTTTTTTAAACAGGTCACTAATCACTGTAATTGTAAAGGTGCAATAGATGTCCTAAGCGACCTTTTGTTGAGGTTCTTCCTGGAGAGTGGGAGGTACGCGTAGGGGTCCGGCTTGCCCCTCTTCTTGACGTCGCCCTTGGCCTTTTTGCTGCTGTACTCCTTGCCGGCGCCGGACGCCGCTGAGCCCAGGGGTCTGAAAGGCATCGGGGGTCCAATTTCAGTGCTGTCGCATTAAGTGTCACGCGCGATAGTAACTTGCAACATTGTCATACAATATCCAGCAGCAGAGCAGCTTTAACGGTGAGGGGTCGCTCGTCATCCAAGTACTTTATAATTTTTTAATTGAAATTACTTATTGTTACTGTTTAATGCACGTATTTAGACTGGGGAAGTGCTGGGACCGTGCAACGGTGTTCAATGTTGCACGAATGGGCAGGTTTGTCCGGGTAAGTACCACAACCTCACAGAAGACTGGCGTAATAAGAAGTGTTACCGCTTCTGCGTTTCGTCGGTGTGCGAGGTGGCAGGGGCCTACTTTATTTAAAGGTAGCAACGCGTTTGCAACCCTACGGGACTTGCGAATGTCGTTTGCCACTTCATACATTAAAAAAAAAAAAATAGTATGGAATTATTTGATTTATATTTCAATGTGCTAACATGACTGTATTATGGGCTTTAATATAAGTCGACTAGCGTCGTGAGCGTATAAAGCGTGTGATGGATACCTGTGAATTCCCCTGCCACCGGCTCTGTACTTGCCGGTGCCGGTGGTGGCGGTGGCAGTGGTGGCAGTGGTGGCGGCGGAGGCCCGGCTGGCCCTGCTGCGGCCGCTCTTCACGCTCAGGATATCGTCGAAGCGCCGCTTGGCGCCCGGCATCAGCAGCCTCGTAGCCTTGCCCGACTCGTCGTCTGCGAAGCGATAGTCCAAATCTTATCAGAAAACGTCCAAAAGAAAAAAACTAAAAAAAATGTATGACAATGCCATCTATTGACGATTCGTTGAAATTAAAGATACCTTATATTATGCTTTTCACCCTTTTACATTTCGTTGATAAATACTTATTTCATATTTGCACCATAATCACTAAGTCTGTCATCACAGTGCTGTGCCAAAATTTCATATGGGTCAACTAATTTTTATTAATCCCAAGCCAAATCTCAGGCTTATAAGAAACCTCTCAAGGCAGAAGTGTTTTTTTACTGTGTTTCCTTGTGTACAATAAAGAATATTCTATTCTGAAATGAGTCTACACCAGCTGGTAAGTTCCAAGAAGCTTCTAGAACGGTGAGCATCAGGAGCATGTGTGCAATAATGCATATTATATTCTGTTCTATTCTATTCAGATACCAGCTGATAAGACCATGGTCCCGAGAAGCTTCTAGAAAGCTGAGCATCTGGAGCACGCACCGGTGTCGTCAGTGTCGCTGTCGATGTCACCACTGGGGCGGGGCTCTTCATCATCGGCCAGGTCCTCGCTGATGATGAGCCTGCCATCGGCCGCCGTCCGGAACCCGCCGTCCTTCTTCTTCGCCACCGCCTCCGCAGACACCTTCTTCCTCGTTGGGTCGGTCGCTGCCAATTAAAAAAATAATAAATAAATATTTTAGAATACATTTTCACACAACATTCTCTAGTCCCAAACTAAGCCACGATTATACATTGGGCACTAGATAACCAGACAATGGAGAATCAGAAGGCAAAGGAGCTAAAATGACATTACTGGAAGAGTAAGTTATAAACTAATCGTTTTTAAAAATGAGCGGTGCCTTGCGTTTCTCCTGGTTTCTACCGGTTTCTTCTCAACAAAAACTGTTTTCCGAACCAGTGGTAGCCGACAAACATTAATGTAACATTTTGACGTGTCATAAGAACGCGCAAACGTCTATGTGAATAAATATATTTTGATTTGATTTGATAAGGTCATTTTAGCTCGTTTTCTTTAGTAGTATATTATGTCAATACCGGTGATCTTCCTTGCGGCAGAGACGTCAGCCAGGTCGACGATCTCGTCAGCGTCGTCCTGGATCCAGGCCTTGGCGCCGGCGCGCTTCGCTTTCGGCCTCGCCCTGGGCCGCTCCTCCTCCTCCAGATACTCCATCTCCGAGTCGGAGTCCTTCAGGATGTCCTCCAGGGTCGTGGAGGTGCCCTTCACCGCCATGTCAGCTTCCGTGTCCGATTCGTCATGCCCTCTGCTGGGGAATTGGGGTCATTAACAAGTAATATGGTCAAGGGTAAGATCCGACCGTAGTGGAAAACAGCTCGGCCAGGCACTACTGAGAATATTTTCACAATATGCACGAGTGTGGTATAAGATCACCATATGGACTGTGGTAGAACGATAACAGCTTATGCAACTGACGCGCGGATAGACCAGCTCCATCGGGTAATATTGAACCACATAAAAGTCAGCAGCTTATACCGCGGCCGGACATTATTGTTCTTCTTTTTTTTTGAAGTTGGTTATTCAAAAGGAAGGCGGTTCTCAATTTGACTGTATTTTTTATTTTTATGTTTGCTACCTCAGAACTTTTTGAACACACTGAGTGGGCCGGTTTTGACGAATCTTTTTTTTTTTGAAATCGCCGTTGCTTCCCGTGCGGTCCCATATTAATTTCATTGGTATTATACCGGAGACACAAAGGGAACTCGTGAATATCGATTATAAAATGAATACGGAGCGCGATATTTGAACTCTGTTTTGTTTTCCGTTAGTATCAGAGAGTGACCGACCGCCTCTGCTCCCGGGCGCGTCTCTTCCTGCTGGCCAGCTTGCGGATGTTCCTCAGCCGCCGCAGCGTGACCTCGTCCTCAGCGGGCACCAGCTTCTCCACCACCTCGGCCCCGAACTTCCTCACCGCCCTCGCGAGGAAGTGGCCGATCTCGAGGCGCGAGTGCCGCTTGCAGTCCTCGACCATGGCCGCTAGACTGCGGAAGATCAGCGGCAGGCTGCCAGCGAGGACCTCCGTGGGCACAATCTTCGTGTACACCTGGAATTGGAGTGGCACCGCTTGGTCAACGGCATCGCTGGAGCGATAGATAAATATTTAGGACACATTTTTAGACAACATTCTCTACTGCGGTACTAGATAACTAATAAACATACTTTTCTTTTGTATTTTGTAAAGTGATATCCTATGAGGACTGTCCCTAAGTACGCTAATCTGAAAATCTTTATAGGATGATCATTTGAAGTTGTTTATATATATATATATATAATTATATAGAAAACATGTAAGAATTTAATTCTATATAAACATATGTTATCAGATTCGATAGTGTAGGGACCATCGATATATAATTATGTCCCACAGCTGGATCTGTCAAGAGTCAGTGATTGATATGTTGGTGACTATGTTGGAAAAATATCAATATAAAACATTCAATCTCTAAGAACATTGGTCTGCTTCTTTGTTATAAGTAAATTAGTAACTATAACTATAATTTATTACATACAGTATTAAAATTGCATGTTGTGCTCGGTTTTTATTGAAATGCAAGTTTAGTAATATATATTAGTCTGTAATAATTTAGTCATGTTAGAATTTGTATTTTGTAACCGTGCCAAATAAATAAATAAATAAATAAAATATCTTAAATCTCTTCTTAAAATTCGAATCCAGCACAGAGTTTGTTGGTGTAAATATTTATTATTATTTTTTTTTATGTGAGAAAAAGGAAAACGCGCTGGCGGTTCACCTGATGTTGAGTGATAACCGCCTCCCATGACATTTGCAACGCCCGTAGGGTGGCAAATGAATTGCCACCTTTAAATAAAGTATTACTTTACTACAATTTTTTTGGACAAAGGGGTTTCTAGGAACCAACATCCGATATTTTATCTTAGACGTATTGAGACTGATATTGATATTACTATAAACATCGATAAAATGATAGATTTCTTCAGGACTCTATCTGGCGCTTCAAAAGCAGCTATCACCTATGTGACTTTCAAGATGGCTACCTTGACGAAGCTCAAGGCGGCAGCGACCACCTCGCGGCTGGGGTGCTGCATGAGCCCCGCCGCCCGCTCCAGCAGGCCCTGGGCCGCCTCCAGGCCCAGGTCCTCGCAGAAGGTGTACAGCACCGAGGCCAGGGCGCGCACACTGGCGCTCACCAGCCGCGGCTCCGTGCCCGAGAGGCCGGCGCTGACCAGCTCCACGAACGCCGCCATTCCTGTTGCAACCGACCCGTTCACTCTGGGCACATTTCGCTTGCTGCGAGACCTGGCTAGTTGGAGGAGGTCCACGGCTTCAAAAAGGATCAGCGTAAACTCAAGTGATCATTTATCGCAGTGTTCAATGTTACAGCTGTTCCAGATTTTGCTTGCTGCAAAACCTGGCTAGTTAGAAGAAGTACACGGCTTCAAAAAGGATCACCGTAAACTACGTGTGTTCATTATATGGTGTTCCGTCTCAAGATACCACCGGAGGACCACTTATTAAGGGTTGGCAGCAATCAGCAAAGACTTTATGCTGCAGATATCCAGGAGCAGTTTTTTATATTTAACTTCAAGTACATTCAGCAGGAAAAAAAATGAATAGGGGGTACACGGTATGTATTTGGAGCTAAAACAGGGTTCAGATGTAAGGTATTTATCTTGCTTAAGGTGCTGTATGCAGTGAATTTTTAACTATTTGGGTGGTGAAGTATGAGGAAGCGGAGGAGGGGTAACGCCGCTTAGCGGCGCGCAGCGCGCGAGTTTCGTCGACGCGCCGCTAGACCATTCATTACCTCGTGTGTAGTGATGGGCCGTAGGACACTATCGATAGTATCATGGAAGACTGTTGAAAATGTACACAGATGGTCCCTATAATATCTTTTATAGACCATGATTATATTTTACTCTTATATTATTTTAGGAATAGTAATAAACAAACAAATATAAAGTTTGAGAAAGCAATCAACAATTTTAGAAAATCTACCTATTAATTATTTTAAATTATCAGGAAACGGATTAGAATTGATTAAAAATACATCTTAAGGTCAAATAAATTAATAAAGGCAAATTACTTATAATTTTTTTTTATGGTTTATATTGTTATTTTAAAGAAATTGCTCATAAATTTTTTGCAGAAATACATAAAATTACGAATACAACTTTTTTATTACATTTTTTTAATATTAGGAATTTTAATTTATCCCTTAAATGTTCAAGATTTACTATGTCATATTACTTTAAAAAATTTTATATATTTTATAATTTTATATAGATTTTATCGATACTTTTAAAAAACTATCGATAAAATCTTTATTTGTATTGTTACGTATTAGGGGTTCGAAGGATTTGGAGAGAAAGACCTGCTGACTCTTTTGAAAACTTTATTCAATAGCACAAGGTCCAACACAAAGCACTAGGTCCAAACACTAAGCACTAACGGTGTCCTGTTTTGTAGCCAAGTCGTAGGTTTCACTGGTATCGCTCTTGATCACTAGTTTTCGCTCCGAAGTCGCCTCGAAGGTAGCTCAAACTGAACTGTCATCGCTCGCCTCCCTGCGGCTTTTTATATGGGCCGAGACCGGTTCCGGACTAATCCAGAAAGATCATTCCTGGAACGTACCCGACACGCACGAACATGTTCGTGATTCCGGAAAGTTCGCGAATGTACCCGGTTTTTCGAGACTATAGTTCCACAGCAGTTCCTCTAACGCCATCTAGTATTGAATAGGGGGTTTTATGTCGTCTTTGTTCTTTAGTGATTTTAATAGTTGACGCTAGATGGCGTTAGTTCCTTTGTGTGTTCATAACACTACTCCCCTCTTAGAGATGCTCGTCCCGAGCATCATTGTTACTGCCATGGTAACGCGCCAGACGGTCCACTTTGAATGTCCCTCTTGATTGCTTTTGAATCCTATAAGTCACATCATTCAGTCGGGTAACCACTTTGTATGGACCGTCCCACTTGGTCTGCAACTTTGGGGATTTCCCTTTCCGACGAGTTGGGTTATGCAGCCACACCAGTGACCCTTCGTCGAAGCCGTCCGTGTTCGATTTCCGGTCGTATCTGGTTTTCATGTTCTCACTTGACTGTAACCCATTTTCCCGAACCAAGGCGTGTATATAGCGCATTTTTTTTTCTTAAATTGCAGACATAGTCTTGTACGGTCTCTGGTCCCTCCGGTGACCCTCCTGTCAATAGGTCTACTGATAATCGTAGTTCTCTACCGTAATTGACATACGCCGGGGTAGCTTTTATGTTCTCATGCTCGGCGGTTCGGTACGACAGAAGGAAGTGGTATATACTTGTCCCAATCCTTTTGTTTGTCGTCTACCAATTTCGCCAGATGCCTCTCAAGGGTCTGGTTAAATCTCTCAACCATTCCATCAGACTGTGGGTGGCACGCGGTGGTCCTCGTCTTATGCATGCCCAAAATTCTATACACTTCCTGGAATACTTGTGATTCGAAGTTCCTGCCCTGATCGGAATGGATTTCTAGAGGCACACCAAAACGACATATCACACTTCTTCGACTAACTTAGAAGCGACTGTTGTAGCTTCTTGGTTTGGTATGGCGAATACTTCGGGCCATTTGGTGAAGTAGCCCATGACGACCATAAAATACTTGTTTCCCGATTCCGTTACAGGAAATGGCCCAGCTACGTCAACTGCAATTCGTTCCCACGGTGCACCGACGTTATACAACCGCAGGTTCCCACGGCTTCTGGTCTGTGGTCCTTTTACAGCAGCGCAAGTAGTACATTTGCGGCACCAATCCTGTACATCATCTCGACAATGCAACCAGTAGAATCGTTCTCGCACTTTTGTTAACGTTCTCTTGACACCTAGATGACCTCCTGATACGCCATCATGTATTTCACGGAGAACATCTGGTACTCTCGTTCTCGGGACAATTATCTGAAGATGGAACTCTCTGCCGTTAGTCTTCTTCCATTTCCGGTAGAGTATTCCGTTTTGAAGTATCAGACTGTCCCATTGCGCCCAGTACGCCTTAGTGACAGCGCCAGTGGGTGCAACCTCACTCCAGTTTGGTTTTACATCACTCCGTTTCTTCCATGTGATGATGTGCCCAAGGTCGTCATCTCTTTCTTGAGCCTCCCTCATAGCATCATTCTCCCAGAGACCCAAAGGACTTGTCCTCGTTAGCTTTAATGTAACTTCATTAGATTCCTGCTTAACACAATGTTTGCAGTCTTCCGAACACGGCCTTCGTGAGAGTGCGTCGGCATTTCCATGCGTCTTTCCGCTGCGGTGTTCCGTCTTGAAGTCATACTCCTGGAGCTGCTCAATCCATCGAGCTACTTGACCTTCCGGGTTCTTGAATTGCAGTAGCCACTTCAAGGCTGCGTGATCAGTTCGCAGTAAAAACTGTCTGCCGATGAGATATTTGTTGAAATGTTGTAGCGTCTTTACAACAGCCAAGAGTTCTCTTCTTGTTACACAGTAGTTTCTCTCTGGTTTGGATAACGATTTGCTGAAATATGCAATAACAACTTCTCTTCACCCTGTTTTTGAGATAACACCCCTCCAATGGCCGTGTTGCTTGCATCTGTGTCGACTATAAACTGACCTTCAGATTGTGGATACCCCAGGATTGGTGTTTCACACAGATGTTTCTTCAGTTTCTGAAATGAATCTTCACAAGTCCCATCCCAACTGAATGGTCGTTTATCTTCTGTCAGCCGATGTAATGGCTTGGCTATCTCTGAGAATCCCTTAACAAAACGCCTGTAGTATGAGCATAGGCCGAGGAATGCCCGCACTTCGGTTTTGTCCTTAGGGGTAGGCCATTTTTGAACTGCTTCCAGTTTCTCCGGGTCTGTCTGGATTCCGTCACTGGAGATAACATGGCCCAGATAGTTGACCTTGCTCCTGAATAAACGACACTTTTTCGGGTTCAACTTTAATTTAGCTCCCTCTATTTTGGCGAAAACTCGCTCCAAGTTTCGCAAACGGTCCTCGAAGTCACGGCCGACAATGATGATGTCATCTAAGTAGACTAAGCAAGCCTCTCCAACTAAGCCTGCAAGTACACACTCCATGAGTCGCTCAAATGTGGCAGGTGCGTTGCACAATCCGAAGGGCATGACGTTAAATTGCCGTAAACCGGTCGAGAAAGCTGTCTTCTCCTTGTCTTTTGGATGAATTTCCACCTGCCAGTATCCAGATTTCAGGTCTAGGGTCGAGAACCATTTCATGCCACTTAAGGTATCCAAAGTGTCGTCAATTCGAGGTAACGGGTAACTGTCCTTCTTAGTGACATCATTGAGACGCCTATAGTCCACACAAAATCTCGTGCTACCATCTTTCTTCTTCACTAACACAACAGGTGAGCACCACGGACTTGTAGACGGTTCAATAATCTTATTCCTTCTCATGTCCTCCAAAAGGCCTTCAACTTCTTTTTCCTTTGCAATTGGTATCCGTCTTGCTCGTTGACGAATTGGTCTTTCGCTTCCGGTATCTATCCTATGCTGAACCATCGAAGTTCTTCCAAGGTCCCCTTCTTGACTGGAGAAGATATTCGCGTAGCGCTGTAAAAACTTCCTAGCTTTAATGCCCTGCGAATAAGTCAGATTACTCTTGCAGTCATCGAGTAGCTCAGTCACTAATCCGTAGTTATTGCTGTTTGCCGAGTCTGCGCCTGTAACCGAACTACACTTTTTCATCCAGACAACTTCCTCGCACTTTCCAATGACGTCACCTTTGTTCAAGCAGACCTCGCGATCACCAAGATTCAAAACCTTGACCACAGCGTTACTGCTTCCACTAACAAGGGTTCTCGCCGTCATCAGTTTTTGCGCTGATGTCTTGGTAGGAGTGCCTTCTTAACTTTAGACAAATACAATAATATATCGTTGTAATTATTTATGAAAATAAAAAAAAATTACAAAAATTAAATGATAATTAAGAAATACTTCCAAATAAGAAAATCAACAATAAGTAAAACAAAAAATTTCGGTATTTGAACCCATTTAAAAAATGATCGTCCTATACACTGTATGTATAGCACTGATAGACCAATCACGAGATAAGATATTGAAATTACGCTTTAAATAAATTAATTAACAACTGTTAATACATACAAATAATTTAAAATACGAAATATGTGAATATATATTTTTTAGTTTTGAAAGATCTAATAAAATTATAACCCTCAAAAATAAATAAATACGGAACATATTTCGTAACGGTGAGCGGAAGACGAGCGGCATAGATCCATCTAGCAAGGCGCCTCAGCGCTCTCTGTTCAACGTGTGGAGTTGGAAGAGAGCCGAAACAACGCCGCGGTGGCGCGGTGTTTTGGCCATCGCGATTGAATTAATTTTGATGAAATTAATTAATATTTACAAATATCTTACTTCAATCAACAAATTAAAACAACAATCCTTTTTATTAATATATTCTACACCACTGATATTAATTTCATTAAGATTTGTTGATGTATTATGTTCATTTTTGGATTTGAAATTCTCTTTTAGAGGTAGTTTCATGATGTTTTTCTATCGAGAAAATATATCGAGAATATGTTTTGGAAACAATGTTCCATTAGAATGTACGATCAAGATTAACATAATTTTTTTTGCTGCTATAAAATGTGTACATTTTGCTAAAAAATCTTTTGAAAAACCTATTTTTACTGCATACAGCGCCTTAACTAAAACTTGTTACAATACTGAATCTTTGAAAATTGTAACATAAGGAATCTCAATATAAATATCTATGTAGTAAAAAAACTATACATCCCACTGCTGGGGAAAGGCCTCTATACTGAGGGTATTAGGGCATAGTCCACCGGGCGACCTCAATGGCACACTCCGCATATATTCGAAATATTTGTTTCGAAAATATGTAGGTTTCCTCACCATGTTTTCCTTCATCGCTAAGCGCGTGTTAAGGCAGCACTTTACAATTTTATTGGGATTTGAACTTGGGATGCCCGAGTATTCTGAATTTAGGCAGCAGCGTATAAGCGAGATATGACCCACCTCCCTCCTGCGGCTTGAGCACTCGTCCCACGGCGGAGATGAGGTCGAAGGCGCCCTGGCGGCACTTGGAGCTGACGTCCTTGGTGCAGACCACCGCCTCGGCCACGGCGCTGCGCACCAGCCTGCTCTCGCCGCTCAGGAACGGCGACGCCCCTATCAGGTGCTGGATGCACCTGCGGTTTCAAAATTATGGGATCATGTTCTGCTACACCCGACGGTTGCAGATGCGTTGACAATCTTTAGAAAATTGAGCTCCAGCCGAAACGCCGGTCTTCTGTGAGGTCGTGGTACTTACCCGGACGAACCTACCTATTCGTGCAACAGCCGAGGCTGCTGCGTGACCCTACCACCGTAAAAAATTGACAACATTGCACCAACCTTAGCCTAGCAGCCTTGCTGCTAGCCGCAACATTACTGAGCGAGCTCATGAGCATCTTCTTTATCTTCTTATAATTGTTCTTTATGAACTCCTTGCATGCGTCTCTTTCACTCGTGAAGATCTCCTCAAGTATCCGATATGCTTTCTTGTGTTCCATTTCCAGCAGTTTCGCTTTCTCCTTGTATTTAAGCTGACGGTTGGCTTCTGTGTCTTCTTGTCCGGAGGCCTTCTTGGCCTTCTTGTAGTATGTCTTGGGGTCCTCCAAGGTGGTCTCACATAGCGGGATGACCCACTTGTCGAAGAGTAGAGTGATCTGCTCGCTCGACTGGTATAGCACAAGAAGCCGGATGACATCCAGGATGGATTCCCGCTGGAAATGCTTATCGACGGCCGCCTCCAGCTGTATTAGTGCGTTGCTGTACAGCTCATCGCGTACACTGTCCTCGCTAATCGTCAGATACACCTGGAAATCATTTGGGAATTTTCATACATTGAAAATTATTACTACAAACTCACATTTTGTTGGGCTACTACTACATTTTATAGCCCACTGTATTAAAATGTTAAATCCCACGGGTGTTGCAGATGTCCATGGGCGGCGGTTATCACTTAGCATAAACCGCCAGGTCGTTTGCCACTTTCTCACATAAAAAAGAAAAAATGATTGCTGAAAACTAGTTTATTTGCATTGAGAACTGCAATTATAAAGCTTATCTGTTATTAAATTATAATATGTATTGCATAGTCTTTGTTAAAAACATCCAGAACTTAGCAAATAGTGCCTTAAGGGCTTGGAATAGAGATGAAAAAGAGAAAATATCACAGAACGCTCACCTGTATAGTCTCCAAAGCCGCCAGCCTCTGACCAACGGCATCGCTGCCTTTGGCCGGTGACATGTAGATGTTGAGCAGTATCGGCAGGTAGTTCTTGGCGAACCTGGCCAGCTCGTTCCTATCGTCCTCCTTGTCCGCACTGCACGCGATCAGCTTCCTCAAGGCCTGCATCACGGAGAGGCGGAACTCCGGGTTGTCCTTCAGCACGTTGCCCAGCACGCGGGCCACGGACTTGAAGCTGTCTTTAACGTCGACGGGGGAGTTGCAAAAGCTGGGCAGCAGCGCCCACAGCTGGGCGCAGAGCAGGTCGTATGTGTGGGCGCGTGGGCTGTCGCCGGCCTGGCCGTACTCGCGGGCCCTTCGCCTGCAGAGCGTCGCCAGCTCCAGGATCTCGGTGGCGAAGTACCTCAGCCTGGCGCCGGCCAGCTTCTCGCGCAGCACCGGCAGCAGCCAACTCCTGTCCAGGTTGATCCCGTCTCCCTCCTTGATGGGGATGTTCCTCAGCACGAACTCGGGGCCGAGGGCTCTCACGGCGCATCCCGTGGCATGTTCCACCTCCTTGTGGAGGTCGAAGTTGTGGCTCTCCTTCCTCTCGTTTAGTTTCCTCAGCAGCGCGCCGAGGCTGTCCGCGAGATGCTCGTTGCCTATCTGTGAGGTAGATAATCGATTATTTATATTAACTGTTAAACGGCAGAGATGCAAAGAAAAAACATGGACTGTTTTTTACACATTATTTTAAACGTATTTTTAAAAGAAAATACAAGGGTGTTGTACCTGACTAAAAGCCAATGTTTAATTACTTCTAGTTCTCACAGATATTTCGTTATCTGTTGATACTTGTCCATTTGCCATTCATTCAAGTGATAAAATTTTGTATTGTTTATTGCATTCATTAAGCTCATGGGGATGGGGGGGAGGGGGAATTACGAGTCAGTCAGTAGGAAAGTTTAACGATAATATATACAGCGTGTCGTTACCATCGCGACAATAAATGAACACATATAGAGGATAACTTTTTAAAATTGTATTAAACATTTACATTCTTTAAACATCAATATTTACAGAGTTATAAAATTTTCCAAAACAAAGAATTTTAGAACAGCCTTACGTATAAAACTGTAACGTAAAGTTACGTAATTTAAAAGAGACAAAACATACTGTTAGAAGGAGATGCTTATAATGCGACGCCGTGGCAACGAATGAAAAAGTCTCTGAATGTATGAATCAGTCAGTTATAGTTGTAAAGGATGTTACAAATTTTGTTTCTTTTTTTTACTTAATTCGTTTGTTTGAAAAATATTTTTTTTATTTATGGAGTTTTTTAACGTTAATATTTTTTTATGATTATTGGTAAGTAGCGTTAGACGTGTGTTCATTTATTGCCGCGATGGTAACGACACGCTAAATAATAACCCTCTATAAAAATGAATATCTTTCAAAATATAAATTCAAGGAACTCCCCAAAGGCAAAAAGAAATTGCATAATGTTTTTTTTTGTTAATAAAAAAGGTCACTTGTCACCTCGAAGCAGACCGCTATGGTCATGATGACGTGGCGCAGCGCTTGGTTGAAGGGGTTGTCCAGGCCGGTGCCTATCGCGCTGAGCACCGAGTTCACGTGAGCTCGGTGCTTCACCAGACACTCGGCTGATGCCGCGCACACGCCCACGCAGTCCATCAGGATCGCCTGCACATGTAACAAACATAATGTTGCTCCTTTTTCCATTAAAAGTAATACACACACAAAGGCCCTCTCCGGTCAACCAGAGGTGTAGAGTGAAAGGATGTATTTGAGCGGTTCTCAACCCTCGCCAAGTCTTTTGTATTTTTTATACTGTTTCATTACCCGACTGCAGAATGAGGGTAATGTTTTTCGAATGTATGTATGTGTGTATGTCTAATTCTTTAGGACAGCACGTCCTATACGTTTTAACATATGAGAGGTCATTACAATCGTGGGAATTAAATTGAATGTATTATCTCAATATGGTTCCCGCTAAATAAATTATAGTTCTTTATTTTCATTATATGATTTTTTTAATATCATAAAGTGACAGGAAAGCTGGCGGTTCACCTGATGTTAGGTGAACACACATTGCAATTACCTCAATCACCAGACGAAAAGTGAAGGCATAACACTTCCAATTCACGCCAGTGTTCTACAAGTCTGCCCACTTGTGTAACAGCGAACATGACACTACCACAGTTCCATACATGTTAACATGAACCATTGTATGTATATGTTAGTCTATAAAATAATGATAGTCTCTTTAAGGTAGTTTACTATGCACAGGTAATTAAAAACCCACCTTAAGTGCGCTGGTGGCAGCCGCATTTATGTCAGGGACATCCGAGAGCCACAACTCGGAGACGCAGATGTTGACGAACGGCGGAAGGTTGGGCATACACAGGTTCAGATCCAATCTGTAACAAATTATAATTAAATTAACACTTAATTGATTTGATGATTATGATTTGTGTGGGTTGGGTAGTAGTAACTAAATGTTGCTCAGTTACTGTTGGATGATATAACCATGTTAGTAAGGACGTTTTACATACCCAAATCCGAAAAAATTACCTGTGGGTGTCTCTCTATTTGTGTGACACACAGATAGCTGTTTCGCATCTGGGTGTTTGTCCGCGTTAAATTTATGTATGTAAAACGTCTTTACACAACGTATAATATCATCCTGATGTAAGGGCAATGTTAAAAAAAACCTACCAAGTGCGTGTGGACTCGCGCACGAAGAGTTCCACAGATATGATTTTTTATGTATGGGAGCCCACTTAAATATTTTCTATTTTATTTATTGTCATAGTTATACAGCGTGTCGTTATCATCGCGACAATAAATGAACACGCATATAGGGGATAACGTTTTAAAGTTGTATTAAACATTTAAATTCTTTAAACATCAATATTTACAGAGTTATTAAATTTTCCAAAACAAAGAATTTTAGAACATCCTTACCTATAAAAGCGTAATGTAAAGTTCATTTGTAAAAAAGCATATGAATGGGTTGAATGAATTTAAAAGAGACAAAACATACTGTTACAAGGAGAGGCTTGTAATGCGACGCTGTGGCGCGAGTTGTATAGGATGTTACAAATTTTGTTTCTGTTTTACTTAATAAGTTTGTTTGAAATTTTTTTTTTTAATTATGGATTTTGTTTAACGTTAATTTTTTTTAATGATTATTGGCAAGTAGCGTTAGACGTGTGTTCATTTATTGTCGCGATGGTAACGACACGCTGTATAATTCCAACTGTCTAACTACCACGGTTCATTATATGGACGGTACATTCAGTCAGCGAGGTCTTAGCAATAGGGTCCCGTTTCACCATTTGGGTACGGAACCCTTAAAAAAATCAGTTACCTGGCCAGGTAGTACGGCACCTGTTGCAGCACGGCGGCCCAGGCGGTCACGAGACAGCGGTGTCTTAGTAATATTATATTTATATATTTATTTATTTAGTGTATGAATAACCTTTCATCGTTCTACACGTTATATAAGTGCACCTACTCTCCTCTCTCTACACCACCCTAAGGTTGACCGGTCATTAAATGGCATTAAGTTGGCCTTGGTACTAGTTCGTACATAAAGTGTAAATAAAATAACAGGGCCTTTTTACCCTTTGGGTGCGGGACCCTTAAGAAAAGATCAGCAACCTGGCGAGGCAGCACAGGGCCTGCCTCAGCACGGCTGCCTAAGCGGGCACCGGACAGCGGAGTCTAAGTAATAGGAGGAGTTAACAGGAAGAAAGAGAGAGAGAATCAGCGACCTGGCGAGGCAGGCGGGCACGACACAGCGGAGTCTTAGTAATAGGAGGCAGCACAGGGCCTGCTGCAGCACGGCGGCCCAGGCGGGCACGACACAGCGGAGTCTTAGTAATAGGAGGAGTCAAAAGAGAGAAAGAGAGAGAGAATCAGCGACCTGGCGAGGCAGCACAGGGCCTGCTGCAGCACGGCGGCCCAGGCGGGCACCTGGCCGGTGTCCGCGGCGGCGGGCCGAGCGGCGAGCAGGGCGCGCGCCAGCTGCGACGCCAGCGCCCCCCCCAGGTTGCCGGCGGGCGCGGACAGCAGCGCGTGCAGCGTGTGCATGCAGCACGTGCGGATGTACACGTTGTTGTGCGCCATCAGCGAGAGGATCGCCTCGCAGATCGCCTGCGGACGGTAGGGATGTCGACATCGATATTCTCCAATATATAAGGATACGAAAAATCGAAAAATGTTCAATATCGACAATCGTATCGGAAACGATATTCTTAATTTATAAAATTCGAATTCGAAACCGGCAAGAGTCCGTTGGTGGCAAATGTTTAATACTTGACGTACCTTTTTTTTTCGTTCGGACAACGGGTAACTAGGAATATTGATATTTCGATATTTTCAGTGGCACAGTTGCGTGGCGTGCTTCGGCGTCGAGGGTCGTGGGTTCGATTCTCACACGGGAAAAATATTTGTGTGACCCACAGATAGTTGATTCGCATCTGGGTTTTTGTCTACGTGAAACTTATGTGTGTAAAAACGTCCTTGCAACACATAAAGTAAAAATCAACAAAAGAAAAGATATCATCATCATAATTTCAGTCCACTGTTGAACATAGGCCTCCCCACGGATTTCCATGAAACACGATCCCGAGCCACCTGCATCCATCGACTTCCCTCACATTTGCACAGGTCGTCCTGTGCAAATGTGGCCTGACATATAGCTCTAGGATGTATCGAGGCCGACATTTTTATAATTATCGCTATATTGATATTATATTACTTCACTTTCGACATCCCTAACAGTGTGTGATGATTGTGAGAGGTCCAACACGTGAACATACAAAAAATATACAGTTTTTTTACGTGACAAGGTGGCAAAAGAGACGGCGATTCATCTGATGTAGACGTCGAACAAAAGTCCATGGGCAATGGTAATTACTTATAACCACCGCCTATGGACTGCCATTGGCATCTTTTAATAAAGCGGGCTCAGTTACCTCACTCACCAGATGAAACGCAGAAGTGTCACACTTCCACTTCACGCCGGTTTTTCTGTTAGGTTGTGGTACTTCCCCCACCGACCCATTGGTGCAACAGTTGCGTGGGCTTACCACTGTGATACTCATTGTCACAACAACAAAATTTCAAAACCTTGAAAAAAATTTCTTAGCTACCTTTATATAATCTTTGCTGAATACATGGAGCATGTCACGGAGCATTGTCAGTATGTGGAGAACGGAGCGGTGACCAGATAACAGTGCTTCTGCCTTTATTTGGGACAAGCAATACTCTGCTACTCTATTTGATGCCGGATGCAATTTAGGAACCTGTAAAAGTTTAGTTATTAAATACAAGCTGACATTTTTTTAACATTTACATTTATTCTATTTTGTAATTCGCATCAATAAAGTAATATATAGATAGTAATGACTACAAAGCAAAGTGGTACCTTGATTTTTGGATCTTCTGATGGTATCATGAAACTACTGCCCCGTAGAATAGCAGTAACTGCATGCTGCGCTGCCTTTCGTACCTGAAAACCATTGATTCAACGATTAATTTCTAATCAAAACACATAATGCACAGCGGCGACAATCTTTTCGTACTTTTTCTACAAATTTTAATAACCAGGACATGTTATTTAAAATTTCAGCTAACTTTATATGTCTGGAAAACTACTGCAGCCTCACAGAAGATTGATTAAGGCTGTGCATGTTGTGATGCAATTCTATGGGCTTCTCATTTGCAACATTCTCTAATAAAAATATTGCTTTACTCACCTTAGGCTTTGAATGTAATGTGAATGCAAGCACAGCCTCAAATACTTTCATCGTAGAAGAATCACCCCACAAAGCATACTCCTGTGCTCTCAAAAGTACGGACAGGCATCCAATAGCACTCCGCAGCAGTGTACCATTTTCACTTTGCATATTCTTCTCCAATAACTCAATTAATATTGAAGCAGAGTCCGAAAACTGTCTCCTGAGCACTGCTTGAGGTACAGACTTGATGCCCATCGCTAGAAGTGATAGTGTTGCAACTATGCTGCTTTCATCATTAGACGCTTTTAGAGTTTGCATCTGCAGAAGGAAAATTTTGTAAAATTATATTCAACTTTGAAATTGAAAGGCAAAAGTTATTAAAGAAATTTGAGAGCCAAGTTTAAAAAATTGTTCTTTTACATATTTGCCTTGTAGCAAAAAGTTATTACAAATGATACTTTTTGACTTTTAAAAACTCTCTTTGCATAGACAGAATAAAGGATATATACTTCTAAGCCGCCTGTAATAAAGAACATTAAAGTGGGACATACCAATGCAGCAAAATATTCTGTGGTAGATTCTTTACCTCCTTGCTCTTTAATAACATCAGTCACAGCGGCTAATATAGCCAGCATATCCTTGTGAACAGCATTTTTTGAATCAAACCTATTTAAAAGCCTACAAACAGTTTAACATTTTTGTTTTTTTATATTATATTTTGATATGAAAATAAACTAGAATAAAGCCTGAACCAAATATGAAAACCTACAGCTTTATGGTAAATGATTGAATCTGAATTTATATTATAGTCTAAAGTACTAAAAAAGCTTTTTAACATAAGCATCCCCGTAAAAAAGTAGGCTCTAATGATAAGGTTTTGAGTACCATTACTATTTGGACATCTGACTATTATCCAATTATTGCTCACTCTTACAAGTGTCCATTATATTATAAATGTTTTTTTGTATAAACACACACATAACAAGAGCCTTTATTTCAATATACTTTACCATTCTCAGTTGAAATCCCAGTGCCTATCAAACTGTTAATTCATATTTGAAATGAAATTTGTTTGTTCATCATTCTCATCACGGTTGGTATCAATGGAAAATATTGTGGAGAAATTTAAATATTTGTAATATGTTAACCAATTTCACCAATTTGTATTAGGGCCATTTGGAGAACTATGATCTAATACCCTATGGCCAAAGAAGGCCTTAATATACTGTATTAAAAGCCTTTAGAAATAATGTAGTCACCAAAGCAAGAAATTTTCACAAACTATAACTACTTACTTGCTAAAACTGACATTAGAACATTGGCTCCAATCAGATGCAAATGTTTGGAACGACTTCACTGTACCCCACTTCATAGAACCAGAGTATTCAGTTTCAGATTCATCGTCCCCAGTCCTCACAGACATATTCTCAAAGTCTTTTGCTATGGTCAGCTCATTTAGGGCATCTGATTTCGGTTTACCACTGCTGTGGCCATACGTCATCATAGCATCATGCTTTAAGACAGCCTGCTGTGTTAAACCAGTACTTCCTACAAACAGTTTTATTCAGAATTTTACCATTCATAGAATTCAGTCAGCTTAGATAAAACGCATTTTATCATACGATATTCCGACGCGGAATGTATTAAGAAACACAAACACTTTATTTGTGCTTAAAGCATGAAAAGAAATAATTATGATATCTTGCATAAAACTTACCGAGGTTCTCTTGGAAAAACCGGGATTTGGCCATTTCTCTGTACTTTTGAGTTTTTGGGTTCGAATTCGACGATTGACCCTTCTGCCATCTCTTGCCCTTTGATTTACCCTTTAGTTTTGATCTAAATTTTCCCATTTTTAGCTTTTGTCTTTTATATTCTTAACACAAAATATAAACACGTGTTTAAAGTTTTGAAAAGATAGAGAAACGTCAAAGTCAAAACTGAAAAATATTAATTTGACAACTTACTGTGAATGCCACCTGTCAAAAAATGCTAGTTTTTGCAGAGCACTTCGTTTCAGTAATCTCTTGATAAATTAAAACAAAAATTGTAAATACTAATCGGTTGTATGAGAGATCATACATTTGCTCGAAATGTTTTTCCCAAGTACCAAGGACCGAGCGTCCGTGGTGGCGCCGTCCAAAAACGTAATAGTTTTATACACGATGCCAACGACGAATTTACGCACAAAACGTTCATCAGCAAAACCCGATTCCCGATTTGCAGCCTGCAAGTGATATCTCCATGTGCTAGGTCACTTTAGAATCGCTTACGTGGTTTTAATATTATTATTTAAGTTTAGAAGACTAATGGTTTTAGTTAGTTGATTATCGATTCGATACAGTGGTGTCTCAAGGGCATTTTCGATCTTATTACTAGGTTCCCCTAGAGTGCCTCTAGGATCGAGTTGTTTCCCCACCGTAAGACGAATTGTCCATCTATCCGCGGCATATGTGGATATGGCGGCAGCTGTTGTGTAGGTGTCATTGTATTATTGTCATACACCAGCTACTATGTTCTCTTGAGTCAACGGGCTGTCTGCTTTCGGACTTACGACAAAGCCAGCCAAAGCCAACAGGCTAATTTTAAAAATATTTATGGTAAAATGTTAGAATAATATTTGGCCTACAACTTGTGCATTGTAGATTCATTTTTAAATTTTACTAGTGTTTTTTAATTGCACTGAGGTGTTTAAAATAAATAGAAATAAATAACATATTATGTTTGTTGACATTTGAATACAGTGGGAGAAGAAATAAATTTTAACGGACTCAGCACATCATCAGCCGCAAGATGTCCACTGTTGAACATAAGCCTCCCCCTTAGAACATCATGACAAACGACACTCTTCCATTTGCATTTTGCATCCACTGGTTGCCCGCTACTCTTACGATGTTGTCGGTTTATGGGGAGGCCTTCCAACGTTACGTCTTCCGGTTCGTGGTCGCCACTAGACAGCTTTTACTCCCCATCGGTCATCAATTCTTCGAGTGATCTGGCCTGCCCACTGCCGCCACGTCAACTTGCAAATCCGGAATCCAGTTAGAGTTTTTCATAGTTAAAAAACGTAAAGATTTTTATGTCTTAATAGTCAACAAAGTACAACGTTTTTAATAATTTGTGCGCAATTTGTTATGATAATTGAATATATTTTATCTGTAAAATTATTAAGTATTATGACGTATAATGGAACGTTATTGGTTTCTGACTAATTTTTCTTCATTCAGCCTCGCATTCTTGTTTCATTGACGTTCCTTTTGTTTGTAAATAATAACGGCTGGAAATAGTACGCAATGTGAAATTACACACATTCCTCGACCGGCTGCACATTACGTAAACGTTTGGTGTTGCATACAATTCGTAACTATGTTGGAATAATTATCATAACCTATTGCCTGTGTTTTGTTGTGTTTCTTTCGACTGTGTAATTATGTGAAGAAATGATGCCACCTTTTAGGAGAAAGAAGGCTTCCAAGTCTTTTCCCGTAAAAGTGTGCACTTTAGACGCGGAGCTTGAGTTCAACCTTGAGGTGAGATTTCCGTCACAACGTTCCCATATCCCTTTATTGTTTACTCTTATAATTTCCGAATGCTAACACGAATTAGCACGAAACGCCGCCAGTGAGTCATGATTTGACCCCGGGGCCAGACCGCGCTTCTAGCTGCATGAAATGTTTATTTTGTGGACGATAACATTAAAACTTCCAATGTAAACATTGTACCTATAGATAAGATCTTCCTTTTTACAAGTGGACCCCGTTTTTATTCAAAAATTATAAAACCATTGGTTTGTTTGTTTTATAATGATAAAGAGATTGTTTAAATGAAATTTAAATATATGAAACTATTCAGTGTTTTCATTTCAATTTTTTTTAATAATTCGCAAATTTTTGTATAAATTATATATAAATAATTTTTCTCTGCTTTTAATACTCTCCAAATTAAAAAAGACTTCTAAATACATATTTAAAGTAGTCAAATTTATTTGAGGAAATAAACAATTACCAAAACAGTTATCAAATTGTTCAATTATTACTATAAAATATAAATATAATTAGGTAGTTGTCATTTAAAAAAAATATATTTACTTGTTTTGTCGATTTATTGTCATGTGGTGTCTTAATAATATATCCATTCTTGTAGTGGCGTGCAACTGGAAGAGATCTATTTGACTTAGTATGCAGGACAATAGGCCTCAGAGAGACCTGGTTCTTTGGATTGCAGTTTGAAGATACAAAACATTTTATAAGTTGGCTAAAACTGGACAAGCGAGGTTAGCTATATGTCGTTTTATGTTTTAAAAACCATTTCTAACTAGATTGAGCTGAGATTATTATATTTTACAGTCTCATTTTTCAACCTTATAATCCAATGTATAATTAGTCATACATATGTATCCTGTGAATTTCAAACATTTCTAAAACTGTAGGTATGTTTATGTTATATATATAATCATATTATCAGATAGTAGTTACAAATCCTTTTTTTATTATTTTTCTAATATTGCCCTTACGACATTTTACACACATAAATTTCATGTGGACAAAGTCAGATGCAAAACACATATCTATGCACATGTCACACAAATAGTTGTCCCATTAGAACTTAACTTGTCACTAATACTTTATTTGCTCTGGGCTTGGATCAAGTACAGAGTCTGCAAAATAATGTAATATATGTTTTTTTCTCCTTGCAATAACAAAAGTAAATGAATTAAAAAGTTAATAATAGTATGAAAGACTATTTTAATTTTCAGTGCAGGATCAGTGTGTCTCTCAGATGCCTGGCACACCATTCATGTTACTCTGCAAGCTGTACCCGGAGGATGTAGCTGAAGAGCTGATACAGGAGGTGACTCAACACCTCCTGTTCCTGCAAGTGAAGCAGGCCATACTCAGTATGGACATCTATTGCCCACCGGAAGCCTCCGTATTGTTGGCAAGTTATGCTGTGCAGGCTAAGGTAATGGGTTGTTCAGCTTGTTTTAATAAAATTGTGTTGATCTTCTGGCAACCTCATTTAGTGATTTTCATTTGTGTTAGTATAGCAAATTTGTGTTAATGAGGTTACATAATTTCAATTTACAGTATGGAGACTATGATGAGAGTGCATACAAGCCTGGAATGCTAGCAAGTGAAGATTTGCTGCCTCAGCGGGTTATAGACCAGTATCAGATGACACCGGAAATGTGGGAGGACCGTATAAAAATATGGTAAGGACGTCAGTTGACAGATTGCTTACACTATTTAAATGAATCTCATTTTTTTTGTTGTGGTAACGAAAAATGTACAATTCTTCTAGTTTGAAATCCACTCAATAACAATCGTTTGATAAATTCTTATTGTAATTACTACAACCCGCTATAAATTTCACTATACAGTTGCATAATTATGTAGGACTGTGTGATGAGGAAATACTGATAAACAACTTGATATGAACAAACAAGTATTAATGATTACATGATTGTAATGCAATATGTTTTCTTGTTGCTCTGCTCTTATGAAACTTTAAGTTATGCTTTAACTTAAATTTTCACTGCATGACAAAACCCCATTCTAAAAATAAAGATTAAAAAGAAATTATTTAAACTATTCGCGTTTCATGTTTAAAATAAATTTATATTTAGGTATGCAGATCACAAAGGCATGTCACGGGATGAAGCTGAGATGGAATATCTGAAAATTGCTCAGGATTTGGACATGTACGGAGTCAACTACTTTGCCATTAATGTAAGTTAATTTTATATATGCCTTATAATTGAGTACCTATATAATGATTTTCAATTTTCGTACGTATCACTTTGCTTTCTTGTCCTATCCTATTGCAGGGTGAGATTATAAAATTCTCCTTCCGAGATGGAACCATGGCATCTATATGAACTCATTGTTTTGTAATCACCAGCATGTTAAAAACATAATCTTATGTATCAAATATTGTGTGTATTTGAAACATAAGTTAAAATCTCTATGCAATTCCAGAACAAGAAAGAAACAGACCTCTATCTTGGTGTTACTGCGCTGGGCTTGAACATATATGAGAAGGATAACAAACTTACCCCCAAAACTACGTTCCCCTGGTCTGAGATTAAGCACATATCTTTTGATGACAAGAAATTCGTCATCAAATTCGTGGACAAGAGCGTCACCAACTTTATCTTCTTCTCACCCAAGGGCATGAATAAATTGGTAAGTCTCTAAAAGCAATACTTTTTTTTTGACACTTAAAATGTGTAAAAAGTACAGTGCTTTACTTGGCAGTCATCATATTATTATGGCCTATTTTATATTACTTTATAATATGTTAATAATAGCAGTTGAGTTCACCTTTGAGTTTCTGATCAAAGTTTGTTTTAATATGACTAAATTTAGTATATTTAACCATCTTCTTTATTTCTTTAGACTTACACCCAACAAAATGTGCGATGGACAATTTTATTCATGTTCATATATTCTATTATACATTCATATTGTTTCATCATCATTCATTCCTGTTAGAAGTCGCTTTTGCCGCTGAAGGATATTTGAAAGTGTTTGTTGCTTTTAATAAGCTAACAATAGATGCGCCAAGCAATGCTTAAAGTGCCCAAAATTGTATATGAAATACGTCGAGATTTTCGTCGGTGTGGCAATCAGCCGTTTAGCTTAGTGGTTAAAGCGCCTGGGTATAAATCCGGAACACGTGTGTTCTTTCCCGCAGCGGCGAATATCTTTTCGTCCATTTTTTATAAAAAAATAAATTTTTCCTCTTTAAGTGCTGAGATTAGCACTATATAAATTTAAATAAAGGTTAATTGTTTCTGTGTTTTCGTCTAATGATGTAGAAAGCCCTTTTCAATGCATCTCAATTTATTTCTGTTCTTATATTAGAATAAATACATAGATACAATAGTAAAGTGTACACAAAGCGCTTGTCAGATTCTAGATCTGTGCATCGGTAACCACGACCTGTACATGAGGCGGAGGAAGCCGGACACGATGGAGGTGCAGCAGATGAAGGCGCAGGCCAAAGAGGAAAAGCAGGTGAACACAATATAGTTTTCTTGGAATTTACACAGTGGCACATTCTCATTCTTCTTTTTCTTCCTTCTTTTTTTTTTCTTCTGCCCTTACTTTAGGATAACATTATGCTGTGTTGTAAGGTCGTTTTTACACACATAAATTTCACGTGGACAAAAACCCAGATACGAATCAACTATCTGTGGGTCACACAAATAGTTGTCCCGTGTGAACTGAATCGAACCCACGACCCCCGACGCCGAAGCCAATACCTTGGCAACTGCGCCACGGAGTCAATCTGAAAAGTGCATTTGTCTATTCCATCCTCGTCGCCAATGTATAGAAAACTGGAGAGAACACTAAGAAACGCGGCTAGTATCTATAATTGTTTATTCACCAATGACCAAAGATTTCTCGACATTTACCCACCACCCATAAAATAAATTTTAACCTTTGATGTTTCTAAGGTCTATTGATATTGTACTATCAGTGTGGGAAATGATGTTATAACTATAGTTATGTATTTTATTATATTAAAGTTACTTCTTATTTGTTTGCATTGTTGTTACTATTGACATAGGGCACGTTATTTGTAAGATCGATAGACCATTCTCAATGAATCCAGATCTGGATGTTGTCTCGTACGATTCTTTAAATAACACACACATGTAGAAATTCGATAATGAGCATAATGTTATCTTAGTGTCTTAATTTTAATTTCTTTATTTCAAAATGATGGCGACTAAATAAGCGGTTTTCTGGTAAGTGAGGACTGCCGCCATCGACGTTCACAGTACCACAGATGTTGCAGGCTTGTCGCCAGTCTCAGATATAGGGCTGACACTTTTTACTTAACGCCGGTCTTCTATCAGCCGTGGTTCTTTTCCGGCCGTGCTGGACTATTATAAATTATGCAAAATAGCTACTCTAAAATTGTATCGAACAAGTAAATTCGATTTATAATCTGTAGTGACGATCTAAAAATCCGGCTCGAAGGACCATGTTACGGAATCAACGACATTGTCAATCACTGAGTGCATCGTGTACATGTGGGATGGAATGGATTAAAAAAATGACTATCGATAGATGAAATGCACGTTTCTCATGTCGATGAAGAAATTATTTTGATTTTGCAGCGTCGCCAGATCGAGCGAAACAAGCTGGCGAGGGAGAAGCAGCTGCGAGAAGCGGCCGAGCGGGAGAGGGGCGCGATGGAGCAGCGGCTGCTGCACTACCAGGAGGAGATACGCCTGGCCAACGACGCCCTGGTAAATCTCGTCACTAAACTAACCTCCAACTGAGGTAGGGCCACAACAGTTCGCTGTTGCACGAATGGGCAGGTCTGTCCGGGAAAATACCTCACGGCTTTATGGAAGTGTAATGGATCCTGCGTTTCGTCTGGTGAGTGAGGTGGCCTGTAACCTTCCGGGTGTTGCAAATGTTCATGGGCGGCAGTTGTATGAACTTCAGGCAGGCGGCACTTCCTACCCCCACTTCATCATTATCGTCATCCAACTCCTTATATACAAATCTCCTCTTAACTCTCCCTGATCAGGCCTATGTCTACCTGCTCGCACCCCACTTTGTCTTCTTACCCTTACACACACACAGTGCTGTATATTGTTTCATAGTTACTTCACTAACTTTTATTTAAAGAAGTTTTTATTAGATAATTGATTTATAATTATTTTTAAAGCTGACTTGATCGAGATGGTTCTATTATTTAATTTCAGGTCTTTTAAGTGCATGGGGGTTATTTAAAATGTATAGTTCTATTTACCTTAGCAGCCGTTTGCTTACTTGAAGTTTTTAATTGTAGTCACTTGGCCAACGGTTTACTTTAGTCATTTCAACTATCTGCATTCCAGCGGCGGTCCGAGGAGACGGCGGAGCTGCTGGCGGAGAAGGGCAGGGTGGCGGAGGAGGAGGCGTCCTTGCTGGCGCAGAAGGCGGCCGACGTGGAGAGGGAGAACGCTCGCCTGAGGCTCTCCGCCATCAAGACTGAAGAGGAGAAGGTGCCCCATATCATTCCCAACTTTAACCGAGTCGATGGCTCGATTGGCGCACCCTTTTATGGATCCCCTGCCACTGTATGGGGGAAGTGGCAGGGGTGTGTGGGAGTACCCAATAATAAACCCACGTTGCACCTGTCTCCGTCTCATCAGCCACGGGGCAGGGGGACACGTGAACGCAATGTTCCGCGACCCCGGCACGACTGTGACCTTTTAGACCTTCTCTACTACATGGTGCTGTGCCGGTTCAATGGCACAGCACCATGTACACGTCACAAGCCCCCATATTGGGCGACAGACGCCCCCATGCCTGCCGCTCAGGGTCTCGATTGGCGCACCCGCCGAGTGTGAACTCATTTCTCACTGAATACTGTTTCCACCAGAAGGGCACATGAGTACTACGCATTCTAGGAATGTTCTGTGCTTCCATGAAATAATCCAAAGAGACTTCGTGAAATATATTAATTTCTTGTACCGGCGGGTCCAAAATTATCTGTGAACATCCAAATTCTACGCATCCCTGTGCCGGTTTTTACGAAATATATCGATTTGTTATTGCGACCGGTCCAAAGTTAGCGGTGGACGTCCACACTTCCAGGTGCACTTGGAGCGTAAGACCCGCGAGGCGGAGTTCCTCACGGCGCGGCTGGTCGAGGAGTCGGAGAAGCGCGCCGCCGAAGCGGAGCGGCTGAAGGCCGAGCTGCTGGCCGCCAGGGTCGCCGAGAAGCAGGCCAAGGAGAAGCTGATCAACTTCCTCAGCAGGTCCTCCACGGGCTCCTTGCCACCGGTGAGTCCCGAGGAATGAGAGCCTGGCTATGTGCTGAGGATAATGTGCTAGATCCATGATTTAAGTTTATATGGCGATCCGGGAAAGTGACAAAGGTCACGATACAGGATCAAAAGTGCTGACTGGTATCACAAGTTCAATGGTAACGGAAAACCTGAGGAAACCTGAAATTTTGAAAATAATAACAAAAAGAAAAAATACTTCATAGATATGTGAAGTCCGCCATTCCGCGGTGGACTATAGCCTAATGCCCGTATAGAAGAGTGCTTTGCCCAGCAGTGGGACATAGTATACGCTGTTACTTTCCTCTTACATTTATATATTTTACCTAATGTTTTCCATCCAGTGCTCCACCGTGCCGTCGAGCCTGTTCCCCTCCACGTGCTCGCTGCCCGCCGAGCTGGGCGAGGGGCGGGGCGAGGGGGCGGCGGGGGCGGGCGTGGGGGCGCGCGACGGCGGCGGCGGGGGCGGGTCGGCGGCCGAGGGGGCGGCGGGGGGCGCACACAACGGCGCCCCCGAGACGGACCTCAACTCGTACCAGCTGGTGCCCGACGACTCGGACCCTCACATACACCGGCTCTCGCTGGAGATCGAGAAGGAGAGGTACGCAATCTCTTTGCTATTTGTTAGACCGGAGATAGGTTAAGTAAGCCACAGACTGATTGATTCTTTCGGATTGAGATTGGGATTGAGATTGTTTCGGATCTGGGTCCGTCCACGTGAAATCTACGTGTGTGAAACGTCGTTACAACGCGGGCTAATGTCACCGGTGCATAGTTAGGGGCGATGTTTAAAAAAAATCGAGACAGCCCCTGCATCTGCTTGGCCCGCAGGGTGGAGTACCTGGCCAAGTCGCAGCACCTGCAGCGGCAGCTCGAGTCGCTGCGCAGCGAGTTCTCCGTGCTGCGCGTGGAGCGGGGAGGGGGCGGGGGCGGGGGCGAAGGGGGCGGGGCGGGGCGCGGGGGCGGCGAGTCGCTCGCCGACCGGCTGAGGGACGCGCACGAGGCGGCGGCCCGCGCGGGGGCGGACAAGTACTCCACGCTGCGGAGGCTCAAGCAGGGCTCGGCGAACACGCGCGTCGCATTCTACGAGCAGCTCTGACGGCCGGCTAGCATCTCAGTAAGGACCTTTTTTTCTTTTTGTCGTTTTTTGCGGGGGCAAGAGCGAGTTATATCGGACTCGCACCTACTAAATGTTCGACCCTCACGATGTTCCACCTAGGCGCATATCGGCAGGTTCACGGGAACGCTTTCGCACAATTCCGAGAACCTGCCAGCGCTGGCCACCTCAGCAGCCCCCTCCCGGGGAGCAACTCCCCTCTCCTCCAAGTAAGGTCTCCTTCCTACTCGGCCCCATTTTCACGGCCAACAAACTCCCTCCCTCGAGATCGCTGACCGGGGCCATGGTAGCCAGGAGAGCCTGTGCCAATAAGCAGCAAGCCTCCCAGCCCCCCGCGGCGGACCTGGTCTGTGGCTCCACCGCTCACCACGTTTCGGCAGAACGTTTTCGGCAGGGTAGGGAGAACGGCGCATCGCAATACCGACATTCCCTTCCCCCCGCGGCCCCACCACCACTGCATCAGCGGTGCAGCTCCGCCGAGTCGGTAGCAGAAGACAGAGAGAGTGGCTCCACCGCTACCACCCTCAACCTGTCCCCGCACCTTCCAGCACGCATCCAGAGTGGGCTCAATGAAACCACTCGGAGTATACCTATTATTAAATTTCGAAATATTACCACCAGTTCACTAAATTAGACCTGTCCAGAGAAGAACTGGAAAGAAACTCTTTTTTAATTAGCGGAAAGGGGAATTGCAAGTGATTTCCACACTTTCTTATTCTTAATGTGTAACAACCTCTTATAATTTAAAATATTCTTAATGTGTAACAACCTCTTATAATTTAAAATATTCTTAATGTGTTACCTACAACTGGCAAATAGCAGGCGTAAAGTCTGTCCCATAAACTGCATTTTCTCATGGTAGGGAATAGGCTCCTACTTTTACAAGGAAGTAGTAGAACATGTGGCTTCATTGATTGATGTGAAATAAATGAGAAAAAAAAAACTGCTATTTATTTTATTATCTAATAGAAATTCTAATTTTCTTTTTTCTAATTGTCGTTAGTGTCTCAACAGTTATCGAATTTGCCGTCTTAAAACTTGTGCTATTTTATAGCGCTAAAATGAAACGCTTGTGACTAAACATTATGACGCTAATAACATTGGAAAATATTAATATAATTAAATTGTATATTTTAGTAATGGGAGTATAACAATAATTTCCCCTATGTAATGGTGTGAAATCCTTGAAATAGTCTTTAACAGTAATACTCAACAAGTTTTATTTATCAATACACTTAACAAATGTTATTCTTTTCATTTCAGATAACCTGTAGGTAAAATTTTACCACTTCAGGGCTTCACAATTCCACGGACAATACTTGTAAGTGCCTTATTTATATTAAAAACCGTCACACACTCTGTACAGAACAATATAGTTAATTTAATGTACAAGAAATATAGTCAATGTTAGGTTTAAATTGTAATACTAAACCTTATCTAGTTTAAATCGATAATATGACATGTTATTATGATAGTTTTTTTCACTTTGACTTTATTATAAATCAGGTACCAGACGAAAATACTAGCATAGGGTAAAGGGAAAAACTTGCTTCATGTACTGCTTGAATAGCCCTCAATATTTATTTATACTGACCTCACCTTTATTTATACTGTTCGCACAATAATAATTTCTAAGTAACAAGTCTATTTAAAATTAGTAATATTGATGGACCATTTATGTTTTGATATCAACCTTCAGAGATAGTAATATCAGTCATATTCCCTTGTGAGATATATCTATGATTAATATACAACAGGAATACGTGAAAATAAATTATTATTAAATAGTTGTTGTCCCCTTGAAGGATACATTACTAACTTGCTTACTCAAGTTGTTTGCTTAACTTAATGCGAGTTATATCTATATTCATTCCCGTTTAAGTATAGTCTAATCACATGCTATATGTGTATAATGAAAATTGCTGTCTTAATAGCTAAAAATGTGGCTCCATAAGGTGGATTTTGGCCCAGAAAATTGAGAAAATTTTGAGATGACTGCGCTTATAATATGTCAGGACTATATTTTAGAATGTTCTAAATATGTATTTATCATAAGTATTTTTATTATTCACTCCTCTGAAGTTATTGGCTAAAAATTCAAAATTGTGAAATTTTGGGCCTTGAATTAATAGAAATAACTTTTGAGAAATCTTAATCAACTTAAATAACTTCTAAAATAAAATTACGTATCATCAAATTAGCGCAATCAACTTGAAATTTTCTTAATTCATAGGGCCAAAAAATTCTCTTATAGAATCAAATCTTTTATACATAAATAACATTTTGATGTATTTGCAAGCATACAGTCTTCCATTTTAGATAATAGACTCTTTCATGTTCTTATTTCTATACATACATTCTGCAGTTCTACGAAATATTTCATTGTTTATTTATTATTGTTTGTCTGATTAGATAGATAGATAGATACACCATATTTTTTTTATTTAATAGCACCATAATAGTGTTTTAAATTTTAAAGTTTCTGTATTAATTTTTATCATCACAACCTGTTACTCTATATACAGGGAGGCTTTTCTTAGTGTATCCATTTTTTTTTATTAAATTTGAGACATAAATAATGTTATTAATTAATTACATTCATTTGAACTTATCCCAAAAAGTGTGTGATTTATGGGCAACTCATTTATTTTACCCGTGATTATTCATAACTAACACGCACACAAGTTCGTTTCAAAAGTATACGACGTATTTATGAATGACTACAGCATTTTTTCTATATACAATCTTTATTGATCTAATATTTACAAGATTAAATCTATCTATAATTACATATTATCTAATAAACCTAATCCACGCGGCATGGTGCCAAGAACGCTACAGCATTGTCAACAACTTCTGTTTTTTAGGGAATAGAATGGCAATTTAAAAAAAAAAGGTATGTTTTTATTTCAATAAATGATTGTACTACCGAGTCTGAACCTCCTGTGTGAATTTGGGCACCTTTAGAAAAGTCACCCTGTATATAAATCAAATAATGTCGTTAATTATTAATGTATTTACTACCAACGTAAAAGAGAACAAGCTTTCATATAAATATAAATTTCCTTAATTATATCAAATTTTAGTGTTTACACTCTTTCAATGTGCTATTTTTTTCATAACTGTTAACATTGCTTGTGCGTAATATTTTTTTGTCGAAAAATTATACAAAAATATTACCTTTATATAAGATTTTAAATTTTTAGAATTTTATTAAGCAGATTCATGGATATTTGCAGCTATTAAACACTGATTGATATTCATCTATTAAAAGTCTGTTAGTGTTCCGAAGACTATAAAAATTATTAAATGCTTGACGTAATGATGAATAATACTAGATATATACACAAATATATTTAAAATTTTACTGACTGGTTTCTCCTGATGTAAAAAAAATGTTAAAAATCATTTTGGACAAAAATAAAATATGATTTGAGTTAAAATTTTATGTCACTGATAAGGCATATACTAAAATGATATTTTATTTCTGAGCTTAAGTTATGCATTGTACAATTTATATTTTACAATAATATGAAATTTCAGTATAATTTAATACATTACTTATGTATTTTGTCCACTTTCATATTTCTAATTAAATTTTAGATAGAAATCTCCATTGACTGGTTCCTGCAATATAATCTTTAATGGACATTAAAATAATACCCACAATAGAAAAGTTCCTAATGATATATATTTTGTACGCCAATTTCAAATAAGATATTTGTGATCTCAGTCACAAGTCTTCTGACGAATTTGCTGGTAAGACAGACTTATTTTCATAAGTTCCATGTTATTTTTTTATAACTTTTAGCCTATTTAGTTATTTTCATATCTTTCCAAATTACCCATCTGATTTATATTTGGCAGATGTATGCTACTAACTAATCTAATAAGTGCATATAATATTTATATCGCTGGCGATCATATTTATATGCTAATTTTTTTTTAATCCCATTAAACCCTATGATAAGATCTGTGTAAAAAAATGCTACAATTTACTTTACTATTTTAAGTTTATTTTAGATAGAATCATATGCCATTTTTTCTTTAGGTCATTAGAACATTTTTATTTGTAAATGCAATGGGAAGAAACAATCATACAGATTTCAGTACAAGTTTCTCTAAAGCACATTACAATAATTTCTAAATATACAAGTCTGTTGTCGCACCTTGGTTTTAACTCAATAAATACTGTTAAGCTCTTTAGAAGTCGTCCATTAATCACATGATATTTTTTTGACCATTTTTTAATGGACGATTTCGTCAATAATGGACGGCCCCTTAATGCCAGTTGTTTATAATGCCATAATATATATCTACTGGAATGATTTTGAATATGGACATGACAAGTATCGATTCTTTTCTACAGTATCAAAATACTTTATCGCGTGACATGTTTCAAAATGTGAGACTTGTAATTCCTACATTTTTTTCCTACAACAATTTACTGGTCGCACTTAGTCCTCAATTAGCACTTACCTGGTGTTTCATTTCAATATTTGTAAAGTGGAGAATGTAATCTTAATATAAATCTTTTAGTGATATTCCCATGAGAACGGATTTAATTAGAGTCAAGTGCTAATTGAAATTTCTGAGTCGGCCAGTAAAAGTGGCAGTTCAGTTGAATGAACCAGACCATTCTTTTCAAGTACCTTACAATTTGATTTGTTAATATGTCAATGTACTAAAACAATCATTAATCGTAAACAGATGTGAATGAAACCATGATCAAAGTATTTAATGCTCAGAAACACAATCAACGGCATAACTCGCTTCATGACTAGTTATTGTCGTTTTAATTTGAATGCATAATAATTATTTAGGAGTCTATGGTCAGGTTCTCTTAGTAAAATAGCAACAATTAGAAGTATAAGTAAGCTCTGAGTTTTAACTGGTAAGACATAATTTCGAAATCTGAATAATGGAGAAATTACAAACACTTTTTTGACTTTGACTATGTCAATGTCTATTACTGAAAA